ATTACATCCCTCCTCAAATATACTGAAAATCAGTTTGTTTGTCACACGATTCAAACAAAATTAACACAATGAAAATTTGTGACATTTGTTAATGTGTAAGATCAAACATTATAAACACATGTAATTATATGATAAATGAAAGCATGACAATTAGACCTATATTTCATTTACATGAGAACGGTTTCCATCTCCAATTTTGTGTGGCGGTTTCACTGAGTACCCTGTTTGACTCGGTTACATGAATTAATTAGGTAAACAAACAATGCCAAAATAGAAAGGGAAAATCCCAAATACTTAATAATTTATATGTATGAATATATGTGTATACGTATTATTGTTTTTGTTCGGATATCACAAAACGCGTCTGTTTTTCAAAGCTCAAAATTAGTAAAAACTGTTATGCGTTCAGTAAAGGAATGCCTCAATGAACAATACTGACTCTTGCGTGTGACCTGACCGACACGGTCGATCTTGACAAAATCGCCGATCGGTGGTCAAACTTGACTAAGTCACATCTTTGCTAATTTATTTAATTTATATTTACCACAACAATATATAGAAGATATAGGTCCCTGTAAATGATGTAATTATCACAGATTCCCAGTACTGTACTTTGTACATTCTTACAAAATTCCTAATAAATAACATAATGTTATAAATGTTTTCTGACCATCAGAATTCTGCAAAATCTCCCCCTCAAAGTCTCGGAAATGGCATTTCAGGGACTCTAAAATTTCTCAGGGGGAGCATGTCCCCAAACCCCCCTAGAAAGCTCGCGGTGCTTGGCCCGTCGCTGCGTTACTCGTATTAGGGGGCTGTGCATAAGTCGCTCTCATTTTTGCTACGCCCCATCCCCCAAACAAAATCGATAGGTATACGGCCCTGTGTTTCCTAGTCAGTTTTCGTATGTAACAGGTACTATGTCGAATGGTCTTATCTTACTTTAAAGGGCATTTAGTGAAAGCGTTATATATTGATAATATTCACAGGTTTATAACTGCAACGTTTCAATGAGGAAAATCTCATGATAAGGATGAGAATGATAAGCTGTCTGTTTTTATAGGCCTACAGTGATATTACAGGTTCATTCAGTAAATATGATTACCTCGAGAACTAAATGACACTCATCAGATTTCAATTTTAATATGGACCGTACCAGTAACAGTTCAACGGGTGGATAACTATGACACAAATACATGTAATCTTTCAAAAAACAAATACGACCAAATACCAAGAAGGTCTATGCTTTACCCATTTAATAAAATTAATTTGAGTTTAAAATATTAATTTTCGTGGCCATTAAAATATTTTCAGATAAAATAAGTTTAAACAAATGACCTCGATCATTATCATGCGGGCTTACCGGTAATCATTAAATCATGGATCAAGATATATTACTATGATTAAATCAATGAATTATGTCTTGATTTAATGTCATGAAGATCTAACTCATCGATAGTTCGGGATCGATTTGGTTGCATATATAAACCTTAGAAATAGATACATGACGACATAGTTATGTATTAACAGAAAAAGAAGTAATGAAATACTAGTAACAATACTCTGCTTTGATAAAGAATGACATAATATGTTATCAAAGTCAACTTGTGCAATACACGTGGGTTCAGTGTTTGCACTGAAGTCACAGAGCTATGTCTAAGGATTTGGTCGTGCGCGGCAATGTCAGGCGAATCCCGACCCGCGAACACCGCAGGTGAGAGCCCGCGCGGGGCATCGGGGGGGGGGGCTGCCCCAGAAAATTTTGAAAATTGACTCCCCTAGACTCGATTTCTGAGCACTTAAAAAATAGTTTCGGAGATTTGATACACTATTAGTTTTGGCATCTTGTTAAACCATGGATTGATTAATACCCTGTAAAATCGAGATCAAAACACTGCTGCGGCTGACCCTCAGACAGAAATATACCCATAAAACAATCAGAAAGACGATTTTGTAAACCTACGCACCATGATATAGTATTGGCACACGGGAAAAACCTTGTCAGCGATTTTCAAAACGTATGTATGTTGCCGCCCAGTCTTCAACTTTTGGGCTCAGTAGGCTGCACAGTTCGACCAGTGCGCGGCGGCGGCGCCGCCTATATAGTCACCATGTTAAACGAGGCTCTGACTGAAGATGACGAAAATCTGGCGGCGAATTCATCACTAGAAATCGTAATAAGAGTAACGAGACCGTGTAACACTATCTTACAGATAACAGAAGATCAGCATAATTGATAAGACCTTTATTGAGAACATGAAATAGACATAAATCGGGAGGAGCTCTATTCCAAGTCTGACTTGCTGTCAATAAACGCCTGCTTATATAGCGTCTAACAATAAGGGGAGATGGACAGCAGTGATAATCATGGTATTGTTTATTATAAAATTATGGTGTTTGTAATTACACTGCATATTTCTTTGGAAGTCATTGTCAGGTCAAGGTATGATGCACTGACCACTAATACATTCTCTTTGAAGTTCTGTCGAATTATACACGGACCACGTGTAGCTTGTAAAGAACATATTAAATAAATTAGATGTTTAATAAGATCGTGCCTTAAAGCGTGAATTTCAAATTTTCTAAGAAAGTCAAAACATAATTATTTCTATGTCTTTTGCTCAATAGGTTATCAAATCACTATTATACGATCATGGGCATTATTTCCCACCCTTAAAAATCTATGACACAGGAAATAACAACACAATTACCTCCCCTGTTTACTATTGACAACATGGGGCAGCCATTGTCCAACGTTGGAATTTGAAGTTAAAAATGATATTTTTGCCTATTTCTCAGCTGGCAATAGCGAATTATAGGATTAATAGGATTATTCTTTAACAAGGTAGGACTGTTATTGATACCATCTATTTTAAGGCTTTATTTTAATACATTTTAAAAATATAACTTGAAAATTTGCAATTGCAACTTTAACAAAAGTTTATAGAGACTTTAAACGTCAACTTCAGGTATAGATCACTTTGTCACAACCGAAAACATAACAAAGTTGGAGGCCTGCATTGCGGATGTAAGATCCTGGATGAAGCTAAATCTTTTAAAATTGAACGATGATAAAACTGAAGTGATACAATTTTTTAAACCTATTAAATGTAAAGTTACCACATAATTCTGTGAAAATTATCCCTGGGTCAACGTCTGTACGAAATCCTGGATCTGGATTTAAATTTCGACTCTGCACTAGACATGAAATCCCATATCTCATTTATTTGTAAATTGTGCAATTTTCACCTGTACAACATTGGTAGAATCCTGCTTTATATCAATTTGGAAACCTGTAAACTACTTGTCAACCCCTTTATTACACCCAGACATTGTAACTCATTGCTTGTTAGACTTCCCGCAAAAAGCTTATTGTAACCCTCTCAAACTCATTCAGAATAAAGCTGCCCGTATCGTTTCAATAACACCTTATCGTTCACCCATCACCCCTGTCCTTAAACAAATTCACTGGCTCCCTGTTTCTTTTCGCATCGATTTCAAAATTTTGTGTCTTACATATCTGTCAATCAACTGTCCTGAATCGCCTGTATATCTCAAAAATTTTCTAAACCAATATAAACCCTTACTCCAACTTCGTTCTTCAAATCTTCATCTCCTCGAGATGTCAAAAAGTAAAACACTCCTCGCCCAACGCTCCTTTTTGGTAGCAGCACCGAAACTTTGGAACGATATATCCTTTAAAACAAAGACCAGAATTTAAGTTTTGATGTTTTTAAAAAGAACCTAAAAACAGAATTGTTCCGAAAAGCTTTCACGTAATTATCTCTTTTATCAATTATTTTAATGTTTTATATTTTACCTGTACAATATTTGTTTTACCAAATAGTTTAGTTTTAATTTGTTATGATTTTCCATCTATATTTTATTTAGGTTTTTTTTAAATCCTATTATATTGTTTTACCAAATAGTTTAATTATATTCTTGTATATCTTATTCTTTTACATTGTGTACTCATAATCATATATATTTTTGTGTAAGTGCCACAGAGCAGCTTTACAAGCTGGATTTTGGCGCTATACGAGTTCAATAAATTATTATTATTAATAACAGCGTTAACGTGTTCTCGACAGATGTTACTACTAGATAGATAACTATTAAATAGATATTTTATTTCATTACATAACACGCCCTTTCTACATTATGACAATATATATTAGGAATGAAAAATACCAAAAAGTGGATGATATACACATTAAGAAAGTATATACAAAATATAAACCAAAGTTATGAATACATGATAGTTGCTTGCACTTTAAAAAAAGTAATTGCCAGAGCAAACTGCTGGTTTAACATATGTTCGAAACAAAATGGTATGTTCAAATGAGGTATTAACGTTTTCTCGATATATATTACTACATTAAAACGAGATATTTCCCAAAATGCCCAGTCAATTAATTGGTGTTAAAATTGGTTATAATGATGATAATATAATTACAATATTTATAGGGCCTACAACATGGTTCATGATCTCATTGGTCGTTATCGAGAACAATTCTTACAAAACCGTTGTTTGTAACATCAAGAGTGGGAGAATTATTCTGGGTTTTAAAATGTTCAAAAGAAAACAAAACACACAATAAAGTTATTTAGATTGTCAAAAACTGTCCAGGTTCAGCCTACAAATGCGGTCTGAACCTTTTGAAAAATAAATATTAAATGGAGTTCTTTCCCATACACTAATAATTGAAAACAGAGTCTTTGTCTTTTTTCGGTATTTTCTAGGGTGACTCGGTGCATGATGTCTCAACATTTACCTCAACAGTTTTTTTGTTATAATGTTTTTTTTTGTCAGAAGATATTTTTGTGATCGTATTAAAATAAATAGATGATTTTGATAATAAATAAAAGAAACGAAAGGACAGATCGACTATTGTATCTGAAATTAAAATTATTTTTCTTTGTGAATTGCATAGAGTGAAGCGCCACCTACTGACAAACTCATACTTAAGCCGAATTTAGTGAGCGAAAAGAAGCTCGACGTGCCGAGTGAGGATGAAAACTCATCCATGTCTAAGTTGCAAGACGTCGTCTTAGATAATAATTAGCTAATCATAACGATACAGATGTATACTTAGATAAATTACAGCATATTTTCACTTCGACAGAATGTTGGTGGTTTTATTTTCCATGGTTATCGTGGGATTTGCTCACAGTGAAAACGAAATTAACTATAAGACAGGTAGGGCCTATATATTATATTGTGGGAATATAATATTTCTTCATATTAATAATATATCAAATGATCCAACAATGATCAATGAAACGTGGGTCTTGATGCATGGATGACACTTGCTTTGATTGATCACTGTTATTAGTATTGTTTGGGTGATGGAGGAAGCTTAAATACCAAACACAGACTCTCGCATCTCTTTTTTGTAACATGCTAGGCTAGTACTAGTAATACACTATACAGACAGGCCTTCAGGCTTCACATCTAAAAAATCAGGGAGAGCTGAAAAAAGTTCCCCAGGGATTGGAACAAATTGAAAATCATTCTCCTGGAATTGCAAACAGGAGATGACATGTGCAATCATACATGTATGTAAATTGTAATGTTCTTTATTTGATGAATAAAACACAACATTGCTATTATTATGTTTCTTTTATATTTTAAATAAAAAATAAAAATAGATGCATCTCAATATTTTCAGTTGTACTTCCTGTACCGACTTTTAAGTTCATGTCAGTTAATTACTAATATTTCTCAATAATTTCTTCCTTCGTTTATACGATAGAAAATGAAATAGTAGTTCATAATGTCTAAATTAAAATATCGTTTATATTCTTTATAATAGAGTATTTTAAAATTCATCAATAGCTAAAATTCCAGGTACATGTATTATCAGGGCTTGTTGTTATTTACGCCTGTATCAATCTTGAAGGCCTGCAAAAATTGCAATTGGTCCTTTACCCATTGGGGCCGTGGTGACTCAGTGTGTAAGATGCTGGCTCTTTTACCTGGAGGTCCCGTGTTCGATCCCAGTGTTGGCAGTGAAAGTTCATTAGGATTTTCCAGTGTGGTTCTTTCTTGTCAGTGGTGTGGGGCGAAGGGCCTGGCAAAGGATAATGTATATGCCTGCCTTTGTTGGTGGAGAAAAGTAAGATGTTGAACCACATTTCCTTCACCCTATTAATTCATACTGATCCCTTATCCATTTAACCCAATTGAGCCGTTTTTTTCATTCTAATTTTAGTTGTTTCATTCCAGTTATATTAAGAGTTTATTCTTTTAATTAATCCTTATCCCTGTACGTGTTTCCGCCGGTTACTTGGAAATGATCCCTTAGATTGGTCTAAATGCAGCGACAATGTGCACATGGAAAACAGACCTAAAACAGTAAACCGATGCTGGATTATCAACATTATGTTATTCGAAAGATATAGTAATGATCAATGATTATTAATCTTTATTTCTACGGAAATTTTTTATAATGTGATCTTTTGTAGAATATATTTTCTATTAATGAAGAATCCAAATGATGCTTTTTTAGTTTAAAATTGTTTTATTTTCTTTATTTAGGGAGTCATGTTGTTCCTAAAGTACTACTTAGTCCACCAACAAATCTCTCTACATTTTTAATTAGTTCAAAAGATATTTATTTAGTGTGGGTGCCACCAAGTGTTTATACCAATATACATGATGTCAACCTAAACGATACACCGTGGCTAGATGACAACACAACACAGGTATGGATGAATATGGATCAACGCCCATCTACTGTCACTGTGGAATCAACATCGCCATCTAGTGGTGAAAGTTCTTCAAGTGCGAACGACACAAATGTAAATATTTCTACGGTTGATTCAACGACACAAGTTCCAGACAGAATTAACACTAGTTCTGTGCCAGTGACTCACGAAAAGAGTGAGAACTCAAGTGAGTCTGCTAATATATCCAAAAGTCACTGCAAGTCATTTGCTTTTCTTAAAAATGGAACTTATTCTGGAGATTATTTGAATGCTCCCATTAGCAAAGATCTTCATCATATAAACAGTCAACAAATTCGTCCAGAAAATCCAGATGCAGAAATATCAACTATAGGGAATATTGGTATAAATGAAGTAATGGTGGATTTTGATAAAGGATGTGTTGAAGAATATATCATTTCTGTTTACAATGACACTGGTATGTAATTAGGCCTATTGCATCTATACAAGTTCATCAGGATTTTGCGGCATTGAAAACTTGATCACATACATGCTTTGCAACCCATGGGAAATCACTGTAGTTGGCGAGAAGATATTTATGACAATTAGAAAACATAAAAAGTTAATCGCCACAATAAGTATGGCAGTGCAGAGTTGTTTGTGTATACTTAGCACACAAAAACTGGTTATCTTGGTATCGACTTTGGGATGTTCTTCTCACAGATTAAATCCCCAAATACAGTGGTACCTGTAATATGACACGATATAGTTACAGTATAGACCAGGGCATCGTAATATCTTTAGTACATGATATGTATTTAGTACATTTTAATTTACATATATGTAAGTGTTTTTTTCCATTTGTTTGTTACAGGAGATGTTTTAATGGTGATGAAATTAGATGGTGATCAACCTACCGAGATTAATATAACAGAATTACAACCTAATACTACATATAGAATCATTATAGGAGCTCGATTTACATCCTCACATATCTTAAACTCCACTAGTTTATCTGTTAAAACTAAAGCTGATCCACAAACTAGAGGTAAACTTTATCTTTAACTCAACTAGTTTATCTGTTAAAACTAAAGCTGATCCACAAACTTAGAGATAAACTTTATCTTGAACTCAACTAGTTTATCTGTTCTATCTAGATCTGATCATGGAGATTGCGTATTCGATCCCTGCATTGGTCGAGAAAGTTCATCAGGATTTTCCGACATGCTTTCTCCTTGTCAGTGGTGCTGGACAGAGGGTCTGACAAGGACAACTGTCTAGTCATTCGGATGGGACAGGAAACCTAGGTACCTTGTATACATTGGCGTTCAAGTAAAAGATCCCTTGGTAGTTGGAATTCGATAAAAGAGTAAGCCATAGTGCTGCGGCCCGGGCAAAATTCTGCTTATAGCACACTGTATGGCGTATGCCCGTCTTCATTAGCTTAGTCAGAACAGTACGACGTTAAACCCCATTTCATATCATTTCATTTATATCTAATCCACAAACTAGAAATCAACTTGGTGCAGATAAGTAGGACATTTATAGAAGAAATCCCCATTTTATTCTCAACTAGTTGATCAGTATGTGTATATATTTATGTTTGTGTATTACAGTATGTGTATAATGTTTGTATATTACAGTATGTGTATGTGATAGAGCTGGTACTATTGGTGGTAAACAATTCTGTGATATTACAACCAGTACTAACACATGGTGTAATTGTAAACCTGGTTATAGTGGTATATTCTGTGAAATATGTAAACCAGGTTTTTATAAATCAGCTATGTTTTTTCCTTGTCACAGTTGTCCTTGTGCTCATCATTCATCTTCAGTAACCAGTTGTCACTTTGGTAAGTTATCAAGAAATTTGTCTTTTCGGTCAACTATGTGGGAGGTGAGCCAAATGTTCTCAGGCTGAATCATAGGCCTGTTTAATATGTGTGCTGGCTGTAAATGAAATTCATCAGTTATACATGATTTATTAGTATGGAAAACCTTTCGAAATGCTAGTTCTTTCCTAGCATGAACAACGTGGTGAAACACTAGCAAATTCTTAGCGTCTTAAGACTTAATTTGCAGTGTCTTTTTATACACTGGCTAGAGCGAAACTACTTGGCTGGTACTGTGCAATGGACTCTGTCACATCTGGATTCTGAATACTACGGCATATTGTGAAATCTGTCATCATTTTCATGTCCTGATTTATTTCCTTATTATTTCAACCAAAAAAGTTTTGAGCATTCCATATTCTGAATATTACGAATTTATTGTGACATAAATCAGAGGTCCCATCACACGATTTGCATTGAATTAACATTGTATTATCCGGCCTTCAATCCGTCGGTGTTAACTTAAAAAAGATTGACAAATAATTATATAATCTGCAATCAATTATTAATGAGATTAATACATGTACATGTGCGTTATTCTGTTGATTACCTTGATATCAGCATACTGACGCAACATCAAAGCCTTTGAACATTTGGCACGATTCTATGAATCTAGGGTACCGGAGTCTGCTCAATGAACCTTTGAAGTTACTGGATAAAGTGCGGGTGCTGATCTCGGTACTGTTGATGAAAACTTTTTTGATTGTGATGAAACCGCCTTGTTGTTTAGAGCATTGCCTGACCATTGTGTGGTAAAAATGCGAGCGCTATAGCAACGTAAATATTAAATTTTTACCACCAAATACAACATCGATATACAACCAAAGAAGATTATACTTCCAGTAATCGAAGGTACAATAATACTTCCAGTATTGATTATTCCGTCATTTTAAAGATCCTGTACAATGTTGGAAGTGACAGATTCCACTGTATATGAGTGTTCACAAATATTGTACGAACGTATGGATGGTGAATACCCATTTCATTAACCTCGTTAGAGCAGAAAAGTAAAAACTTAATTCCCAATTTCATTTGTTTATGAAGTAATACTTCTACTTCAGATGAACCAGTGAACAAAGAGCTTTGATAGAGCATGTTTAAAGCCTCAGTATGACATCAGAGAATAGTGAGCAGAAGTAGCGAATCAGTGTCCATGATTGACATGTTGGTCTTGTTTATAACTGCATGTATGTTAATAAAATGTGAATATGTTTATGTTACAGTGGAGGGATTTCTAGTATGTGATAAATGTAGAACAGGCTATACTGGTAATCTATGTCATCAGTGTGCTAACGGTTTCTATAGATACAAGAATAAATACTGCGTAGCTTGCCGTTGTAATGGCAATACAGATTCAACTGCCCATATGATGTGCGATCCTTATTCTGGTAAGTTTTGTATTGTGTAGTTGAGTAATTAACAGACTAATTAATTACTCAACACTGGTAGTGAAAGTAAACAGTCGTCTAATCTAGATTGATCATTTTAAACTATGCGACACTAGGAACCCAATATTTTTCAATGATTCTCAATGAATTTGAACAATTTGTCAACAATGGTTTGAAACTAAACATTAAATACAGGAACTCATGCTAAAACAGTGCAACTGAACGATACCCATGTTGTAGTGATAGTTTTTAAAAGTCCTCAGAAGTATCAAATGATGTAAACAAATCAGTCAAACTACTCAAAAAAATATAAAGAAATTTGTACATGAATAAAAACAAACAATGAAAATTAAAGAGGTATTATAACTATAACCATAAAAATGAATATAATTTTGATTAGAATATATTTATAAATCTTTTAAACCTCAAATAAAACAAAACAAGGCTGCTCTACTAGTGCTGTCCTATTAAAACCTATACATCTCAATGTTGGCTTGACAAATTTATCTCAATTATTACATATTTGGACATTCCTGATGTAACTGTACAGTCAAATTGTGCTAGATTTTTATACGCCCACATTTTCATGTGGACGTACATTGTCGTCGCCCCTGTCCGTCCGTCCGTCCACAATTGTTTGTGAACAGTAGTGTTGAAACTCAGGGCAAATTTTACTATTCGGCTATCAGTCTATGCTATCCGAACATATTCGGACTATTCGTGTGTATTTTAAATGTTAGTTTTGACGCATAAGTGCATGCAAATTCGTCTGATTGTACAGAGTGTGGTACATGTAAAGGCTAATATACCACACGGTCACAATTTTTATCCGATTTCAATGAAACTTGAAATATAGGTTTATCACCCTAAGATCTCGGTTCCTTTCGATATTCGCGCATATCGGACCGTAACTTCCTGAATTATGGCCCCTGATTGTACGGAAAATTGCGTTTTTAGCTTTTGGACCCTATAGAGGTCATAATTTTTATCTGATTTAAAAAAACGTATTATTATATCACCGTTACACCCTAAGGACGACCGAGTTTGAATTTCGTGAAAATCGGCCCAAAATTGACAGACAAAATGGCCGCCGTTCGTTCTCAAATAGCGTAAAAATATGGTATATCAAGGTTGTGGCCCCTATAGAGGTCACAATTTTTATCCGATTTTGTTGAAACTTGAAATAAATGTAAGTTTATAACACAAAGATCTCGGTTCCTTTCGATATTTGCGCATGTCGAATTGTAATTTCCTGAATTATGGCCCTTGATTGTAGGAAAAATCACTTTCTTTTGACCTTGTTTTCTATCCATCTCTCGAAAATGTGGGCGTATCCTGCCTGGCAGCCGCTGGTTTTTTCCTACCAACAAACACATCCATTGTGCTTAATCCATGTCAATCAATGACTACGTGACAAAGATAGGGTCTTCTGTCCAACCTCGTGGGTTTTCTCAGGGTCCTCTGGGTTCCTCCCACTGCTAAAGACCCCTCTTCAAGTGAATTATTGAAATAAAATTTAACCATTTGTTAGTCTCGAAATGACCTAGTTTGTGTCGGGTGGTCATTAAACCCCATTTATCTCCTGTAAGTGTTATCAGATTTTCTGGAAAAATGTAAACACATTTGACATTTTGATTTTATCCGATTATTGTCGTCTTTTTCTATTTACATATAAAGTGTTATTACTGGATGTTCAAAATAAGATATTCAGATTTGCCGAATATGGTACAAATTTTGTTTGTTTCTTTTTTCTAGGAGCATGTGTATCATGTATGAAAAATACGACAGGTTTTAATTGTGAAAGATGTCGTAAGGGTTACGTAGGTGATGCTCTCATTTATAAAAACTGTACGCATAAAAGTAAGTCAATTTTCAATTTTACACACTTCATTCCATGTATACATATTTTCATTATAAATATATGACGGAGGCATGCAATACCCTTAAAATGGTTGTTCTAAAAGGTCATATCTGTTGAGGCATAGTGTGCAAAGATCAATAAGATTTTGACAATTAAAAGGGGCATTATGCAAGAGCTAAATCTTCCTGTTTACAGGTCTTTCTTTATGCCTTAAGTGTTATATGAATTATTAATAAGACATTTATTAATTTACCAACAACATAATCAGCTCTCGATGCCATCGGATACTTGAGATTTTCAAATACGATTGACAGTTAAATTAAAACTGTCAAAATGATTGAATTAAAAAATGGATAATCAAGACTTTGTTTATTATCTTAACAACGGTAGCAATTCTTAACTGATTGTTTTGAAACTTTACATACTTATTCCGCATTGAGTCGTGACAAGGAATAGGGTCGCCTGTCCAACCTCATGGGTTTTTTCCGGTTCCTCTTGTTTCCTCCCACTGCTAAAGACCCCTATGTGCAAACAAATTATTGAAATAAAATTGAACCAGATGTTAGTCTCGAAATGAACTAGTTTGTGTTAAGGGGAAGTTAAATCCCATTTCTCTCTCTCTTAATTTTGATGCATGCCCGACCCCCTGGAGCAGAGCCACGCCCAATTTTTGTGTGTGTCTATGTTTCGCCTACAGGCCACAATTCTTAACAGATCCTTTTGAAACTTCGCATACCTCTTCCGTATACCCTACGGATGATCCCTATTGTTTTTTGGTGAATGCCTGACTCCCAAGGACAGAGTCACACCCATTTTTTATGCGCCCACATTTTCATGTGGATGTACATGTATATTGTCGTCGCCACTGTCTGTCCGAACGTCCGTCCGTCCACAATTGTTTGTGGACACTCTACAGGTCACAATTTTTATATGCCCACATTTTCATGTGGACGTATTATGCCGTTGCCCCTGTCCGTCCGTCCACAAACAATTGTGGACTCTCTACAGGTCACAAATCTTATCCGATTTCGACGAAACTTGAAATACAGGTGTATCCCCAAAAGATCTCGGCTGCTTTCGATATTGGCATGTATCGGATCGAAACTTCATGGATTATGGCCCCTGTTTGTACGAAAAATCACGTTTTTAGCTTGTGGACCCTATAGAGGTCACAATTTTGATCCGATTTTGTTGAAACTTGAAATGTAAGTTTATAACCCAAAGATCTCAGTTCCTTTCGATATTCGCGCATATCGGACAGTAACTTCCTGAATTATGGCCCCTGATTGTACGAAAAATCACATTTTTAGCTTGTGGACCCTATAGAAGTCATAATTTTTATCCGATTTAAAAAAACGTTCTATTATATCACCGTTACACCCTAAGGATGACTGAGTTCGAATTTCGTGAAAATCGGCCCAAAATTGACAGACAAAATGGCTGCCGTTCGTTCCCAAATGGCGTAATTTGAATATGGTATATCAAGGTTGTGGATCCTATAGGGGTCACAATTTTTATCCGATTTTGTTGAAACTTGAAATGTAAGTTTATAACCCAAAGATCTCAGTTCCTTTCGATATTCGTGCATATCGGACCGTAACTTCCTGAATTATGGCCCCTGATTGTACAAAAAATCACGTTTTTAGCTTGTGGACCCTATAGAAGTCATAATTTTTATCCGATTTAAAAAAACGTTCTATTATGTCACCGTTACACCCTAAGGATGACTGAGTTCGAAGTTCGTGAAAATCAGCCCAAAATTGGCAGACAAAATGGCCGTCAGTCGTTCACAAATAGCGTAAGAATATGGTATATCAAGGTTGTGGACCCTATAGGGGTCACAATTTTTATCCGATTTTGTTGAAACTTGAAATGTAAGTTTATAACCCAAAGATCTTGGTTCCTTTCGATATTCGTGCATATCGGACCGTAACTTCCTGAATTATGGCCCCTGATTGTACGAAAAATCACGTTTTTAGCTTGTGGTCCCTATAGAAGTCATAATTTTTACCCGATTTAAAAAACTTATTATTATATCACCGTTACACCCTAGGAACGACTGAATTCGAATTTCGTGAAAATCGGCCCAAAATTGACAGACAAAATGGCCGCCGTTCGTTCTCAAATAGTGTAAGAAAATGGTATATCAAGGTTGTGGACCCTATAGAGGTCACAATTTTTATCCAATTTTGTTGAAACTTGAAATATAAGTTTATAACCCAAAGATCTTGGTTCCTTTCGATATTCGCACATATCGGACCGTAACTTCCTGAATTATGGCCCCTGATTGTACGAAAAATTGCATTTTTAGCTTGTGGATCCTATAGAGGTCATAATTTTTATCCGATTTAAAAAAAAAAGTATTATTATATCACCATTACACCCTGAGGACGACTGAGTTCGAATTTCGTGAAAATCGGCCCAAAATTGACAGACAAATTGGCTGCCGTTCATTCAGTTCCTTTCGATATTTGTGCATATCGAATTGTAATTTCCTGAATTATGGCCCTTGATTGTAGGAAAAATCACTTTCTTGTTAGCTTGTTCTTTATCCATCTCTCGAAAATGTGGGCGTATCCTGCCTGGCAGCCGCTGGTTATCCGATTTCAAAGAAACTTGAAATATAGGTTGATCTCCCTAAGATCTTGGTTCCTTTCGATATTGGCATGTATTGGATCGTAACTTCATGGATTATTGCCCCTGATTGTAAGAAAAATTGCGTTTTTAGCTTGTGGATCCTATACAGGTCACAATTTTTATCTGATTTTGTTGAAATTTGAAATGTTAGTTTATAACCCAAAGATCTTGGTTCCTTTCGATATTTGTGCATATTGGACCGTAACTTCCTGAATTATGGTCCCTGATTGTACGAAAAATCACGTTTTTTAAGCGTGTGGACCCTATGGAGGTCATAATTTTATTCTGATTTAAAAAAACGTTTGAATCTAACACCGTTACCCCTTAATGACAGTAGCCCAGGTTAGGTGCAGAAGCGTAGGACGTTAAACCCCATTTCATTTCATTTCCTTAATGACAGTTGAGTTCGAAATTTGGTGAAAATCGGACCAAAACTGCAGGACAAAATGGCCGCCCCTTGTACGCAAACAGTATAGAAATATGGAATATCAAGGTTGTGGACCCTCTAGAGGTCACAATTTTGATCTGATTGTGATGAAACTTGAAATACATGTTTATAACCCAAAGATCTTGGTTCATTGCTATATTTGCACATATCCGATCGTAACTTTCTGAAATATGGCCCTTGATTGTACATGTACGAAAAATCGTGTTTTTAGCTTGTAGCCATCCCTCACAATTTTTATCCGATTTAAAAACGTGTAAATAAATCACCATTACACCCTAGTGATGGTTGAGTTCAAATGTTCAAAATCGGACCAAAACTGACGGACAAAATGGCCGCCCCTCATACTCAAATAATAAAAAAAAAATGTGGTACATGTATATGAAGGTTGTGGACCCTCTAGATGTCACAATTTTTATCAGATTTTGATGAAATTTAAAATATTTCTTTATATCCCAAAGATCTCAGTTCCTTTCGATATTTACGCATTTCAGACCATAACTGTCTGGATAAAGGCCCCTGATTGTACGGAAAATTGCTTTTGTTTTTAGCTTGTTTTCTATCCATCTCTTGCCTGGCAATTGCTGGTTAAACAAAATTTATACAGTCTATATATATATTTAGAAATTATCAACAAGTATTTCTGTTGAAATACCGTATGTAGTTATAGACGATATCAGAAGTTTGACTTTACCGTATGACTCAGGTGCTATTATTTAGCAGACGATGTTTATTATCATTTGGGAGTCATTGTGGGTAAGATGCTGACTCTCTAGTCTGGAGGGTGAGTGTTTGGTCCCTGCATTGGCCGCGAAAGTTCATCCACATTTTCCATCGTGGTTCCCCCTTGTCAGTGATGCAGGACGGAGGGCCTGACAAGAACAGCTGTCTAGTCATTCAGATGGGACAAAAACCAAGGTCCCGTGTACATATTGGCGTGCACTTAAAAGATCCATTGGCAGTTGGAATTCGATATAAGAGTAGGCCATAGTGCTGCTGTCCGGACAAAATTACCCTCATAGCACACGGTATGACGTATGCCCGTCTTCATTAGCCCAGTTCAGAGCAGAACAGTAGGACGTTAAACCCCATTTCATTTCATTTCATTTATTATCATTTATGTAATCAGGAATGACCTCTTACACGCAGTTATTGATCTTCAGAACCATTTCCCATACAAACAAATAATCACTCTCCTTAATATCAGATCATTCTCCTTAATTTCTAAATCACTCTTCTTATTAAAACTGGGAGAGCTTTTTAAGGGGAGCGATTTTTTTCTATTTGTTCATTAAGGTGACCTTTTTTTCGACTTTCCTCTGAAATGCAAAAAAAAAAAAAAACGACTGCAAAATAGTGCCCCTGAAAGTTCCAGTGGATTTTCGGACCTGGGTCCCCCATGTCATTGATACAGGGCTGAGGCCGGGCTGGCAAGGATAGCGCCTAGTGTTTTGGATGGGATGGAAACCGGGGTCCTGTGTACAAGTTGAAATGCATGTAAAAGAATTCAATTGGTGAGCTGACAAAATTTCCACCGTAGCACACTGTATAGCATATACCGATCTTCATTAGCCAGTATGTGCATTCAAAGTAGTGCAACATGTTGACTGTCAAGAATTGCATCATGATATATTATTCTGGGAAAATAAAACATGAAGTGAAATGGGTTTTAACATCCTACTGCTTTGCCCCTGCCCCTACTGGGCTAACCGGCATATGAAGAAAATTTTGTTAGGGCAGCAGCACAACAGCCTACTCATATATAGTATTCCAACTGCCAAGTTTACTTTTACGGGCATGCCAATGTGTACATGGACCCTCATTTTTTTTGTACCACAGACAAGAGGGGACCACACCAAAAAAATCCCTATGAACTTTCTCGGTCATCACCAGAATCAAATAATATCTGAGCCGCTGCAGCTCCCATTTGGGAAAATATATCAATATACAAGTATATTAATTCACGCAAGATTTTTAAAGAATAGTTTTACTTATTTAAGGTGATGTAATTAAAGAAGATATATTACCACTACCAGCTGGTTATATAGCGGCTATATGTGTTGGTATTATACTATTACTCTGTTTAATTGTTGGTTCCTTGGTTTATAAACGCTGGAATATGTACCCAGCCATGAAACCTTTCTGGACAGTAGAATTAAAAGAGGATCATGAAGGCGTTAATTTTAGTGCCGTCGAAGATCAGGAGTTCCTGAAACACACACAAACCAATGAAGACGGAGAATTCTACGAAAAACGAGGTGGAAGGGGAATGAAGTATGCTCAGTTAAGAGAAGATGTTTAAGGAAGATTGCAAAAAAATATTCCTAACTGGATTATGGTAATAAACAATTACCCAAGGTGTTTCTGTGGCAGGTATTAAAACAGAAACAAAAATGGACAATACTCACATATTTATAGAATAATATGGAAGACTTATTGTTTTTGTTAATGAAAAACAGCCACTGCTTGTTATTTGAAATTGATTGTTGTATTTTTTTTTATTGAAAAAAGTGATTTTATCAATAATCAAAATGAAGAAAAGTCGCTTTAGATTTTGACTTGCTTTTTTGTATTCAAAATCAAGGTACTTTAAAACTTAATAATTTACTAAATTTAGACCACTTTAACATAAAGATTCTCTTAATAACATTTTAAATGCATTAATTGTATCCAAAGCTGGTATCTTCAGTCTCATTCAATCTAAGAATTAAGAATGAGATACAAATGTGATATAGATTTAAGTATGTTTATATATTCAAAAATTTCCTGCACACATCAGAATATTTAAAATTACTGCATTATACCAAATTGTTTGATTAATATACTGAAAATATTATAATAATATATGCATGATTTATATATTGTGATTTTATTGTGATCTCGCTTTATGTGGTATAAATTGCACATCTGCTTAATTTTCATAATGAGTTATCTTTGTTTTAGATTTAGATGTCATAGACACTTGATTTTATTTTGGTTTTAATTAATACAAGGTCTAGTCACTACATGTATATAATTAGGTATGATTTCCTCACTTGACAATTGATTAAAGTCCCATTCACAAAATAAAACAAGGTACAGTATGTTATTTCTTGATACATATGACAAATCAAACACCAAAATGTAAAGAAATAAGCCATTAAAATGACTAATCCTCTTTGATTGGACATGCTAGATAAAATTGAAAAATTAATTTGAATATCATCATTTATGGCCCCATACATGTATTTGTTTGTTTATGTATGTAATATTTCAAAGATCTGTATTCAGTAAGAAAATAGATGTAATGACCTTTCTTGTTTTGGCAAGTGTTGCGCTCTACTGAAGTGTTCAATGTCAAATTGTATTATAAATTTTAGAAACTGGTCAAAATATAATGAAAGATTAAAAAAGGATCGGCAACCTGAAAACGCCATTATAAAAGCTAAATTTAACTCGTATCAGATAATTGTATCAGATAATTGTATCATGTGTCTCACATTTCAGCATTTTAGGCCAGCTCTCAAACAATCTTCTTTTAAAGAACTCTTTTAGTGTTTCGGGGGTTTGGATGGGAAATGGTTTAATGTGTGTGGTTTCGATTACCCACTACGGCATGTGAATTATAGAAGTATGATGGAACCATATGATAGTCCCGAAATGACCTAGTTGGTGTCGAGTGGATGTTAAATCTCATTTGACTCTCTCCCTCTTATAATGTTTTACTGGTAGTGGTTATAGCAGGATAAATATACAAAGGTCCTGAAGTGAATTTATTTATAGCATGTCATATTACATGAAATAAAGATTAATTTTGTTTTCACAAAATATCTGAAAAATTGTGAATTGTTTACTAGATTGCTTTGTCTAATATTTTTACGCTTTATAGTACTGTTTGAAATTAATTATTATTTATCCAACGAATTATTGCTATTTGTTAATGCTTTAAACTCCAAACAGGGTTCCCGCGGCTTTGTCAAAAAAATTTTCAAGGATAAATATACGTCAAATTCAAGGATTTTCAAGGACATTTTTTAGCCTAAAGTTACAATTTTTCATCTTAAAAATAACCAAAACATTACCAACTATCGTTATAATCTCATATTTAAAAGGAATTGAAGACATTTGAAACAAAATTAAGGATCTCAACTGAAATTCAAGGATATTTTCCTATTTCCGCGAAATTCAAGACCTTGAAAATGAAATTTTAAATTTAAGGATATTCAAGGATTTTCAAGGACCGCGGGAACCCTGTCCAAATGAGGGGTAAAAATCAGTTATTATTAGTTAATTGGAGGACTTGTTCTTTAATCAGATTTTGATTGCATCAAATCCAATCTTGGATGTCTTTCCAGTTTAAAAATCCACTTTTATTTGTAATGACAGATTTCCGATTTAAAATCTGCATGGTGGTATTGATTTTTATCTTTAAATTTAGATCTATTTATAACAATTTTGTTTTAAATTTGATTTAGATCATAGGTTTTGTTTATTAATTGATTAATTGAAATTTGATTTAAACATAATATAATAAATTCATTGTAATTTTTTTAAAACCATAAGTTTATTAATCTAAGCTTATTGATTGAAAGCGTGTTATTAATATGAATGAATTTCGATTTACATCATAATGTTAATACATTAATTTGATTGAAATATTTGTAGGAGTGGGGTGGGGTGGGCATCATCGAACTATAATTTTGCTGGAGGGAAATCTCATATCTTGTCCATTGAATATCTTAAATTTAAATATTCATTATACAACTCTCCTGGTTAAAATCTAAAGACATGTGAGTCTTTTGTTATTAAATGTGCAAATTTTATTTTTGTTGCTTTTCTTTTACAGAGATTTTTAAAATTTTATTTGAATTTCTATATTATGAAAATATACTACGCAAAATATTAATAGCTATACACGCTGATATTTACAATTTTAATTTTGTTGGTGATATTTGAACTTTATTTTTCTTTTCTATGTTTTCAGTATTAATTTATCTTATAGTTGTCTTCACATAATCAAGTTACATGTAGTTAGTAGATAAGTGTATATTGTTTCATACATATTTGTATTTCATTTTATACATAAATGTATATCATACAGAAATGTATACTATCAGTTCATACAGAAATGTATATCATCTTGTATTTCCAAGTGTTTTTAATGTCTTTTGGAATTTATTATCTGTGTCACTGAAAGCACATTAAAGGCACAATTCTGCCTCCATCTAAATAATTCCTGGCATAAATATCCCCTGAGCTTTGATTATTAATTGTTCTTGAAAAATGTACTCTGGACTTAGGGCAGTAAAACTTTTTCCTTTCTCAATTCAAGTTTTATTCAAATTTCAGTTGTTAGCACACAAGGTAAAAGTGTCAGTATTTTCCAATGGACAGATGACACCAACAAAGTTAAAAAAATATATTATTATTTGAATTATTGTATTTTAGGTATATATTGAGTTACAAACTTGACAAATAAAAGTAAGAAAAGTTTTATAGCCCTAACCCCAGTTCTTGACAGTCTTCCAGAATATACAGACATTATTTTATATCTGTGTTCTGCACACTTTATAGATTTACACTCCAAGAGAATTAAAGATGCATTCTGTAAGATTTAGATAAAAAGCTGGCCATTCCTGCTATACTAGTTCAATAATAGATAATGAGAAATGAATATATTAAAAACTTCATTCAAATTACTTTATTCTGGGTGAAGTTATGAGTTATGGCCATTTGAAGATGTAGTTAGATCGTTTGTTATCGTAGTAACGTTACTTGACAATTGAGAATTAGTCTCGATTATCTATTGTACGACATATCTTCATCGTTAAATTTTAAAATCTTGCAGGCATATTATTCTCTTACATAATGAATGCAGCTTTAATAATAGCCAGAATTAAAATATTGTAAACATTTCTTAGAGAAAAGAAAAAACTCTTTTATACAACTTCCCAAAGAGTGCTTCTTGCCTGTTTTTTTTATACGCCCACATTTTCATGTGGACGTATATTGTCGTCACCCCTGTTCGTCCGGACGTCCGTCCGTCCGTCCACAATTTGTTTGTGGACTCTCTAGAGGTCACAATTCATGTCTGATTTTGATGAAACTTGAAATATAGGTTTATCCCCAAAAGATCTCGGCTGCTTTCGATATTGGCATGTATCGGATCGAAACTTCATGGATTATGGCCCCTGTTTGTACGAAAAATCACGTTTTTAGCTTGTGGACCCTATAGAGGTCACAATTTTTATCCGATTTTGTTGAAACTTGAAATGTAAGTTTATAACCCAAAGATCTTGGTTACTTTCTATATTCGCGCATATCGGACCATAACTTCCTGAATTATGGCCCCTGATTGTACAAAAAATCGCGTTTTTAGCTTGTGGACCCTATAGAAGTCATAATTTTTATCCGATTTAAAAAAACGTATTATTATATCACCGTTACACCCTAAGGACGGCTGAATTCGACAGACAAAATAGCCGCCGTTCGTTCTCAAATAGCGTAAAAATATGGTATATCAAGGTTGTGGACCCTATAGAGGTCACAATTTTTATCCGATTTTTTTGAATTATGGCCCCTGATTGTACAAAAAATCGCGTTTTTAGCTTGTGGACCCTATAGAAGTCATAATTTTTATCCGATTTAAAAAAACGTATTATTATATCACCGTTACACCCTAAGGACGGCTGAATTCGACAGACAAAATAGCCGCCGTTCGTTCTCAAATAGCGTAAAAATATGGTATAACCCAAAGATCTTGGTTCCTTTCGATATTCGCGCATATCGGACCATAACTTCCTGAATTATGGCCCCTGATTGTAGGAAAAATCGCGTTTTTAGCTTGTGGACCCTATAGAGGTCATAATTTTTATCCGATTTAAAAAAACATTCTGTTATATCATAGCGTAAAAATATGGTATATCAAGGTTGCGGACCCTATAGGGGTCACAATTTTTATCCGATTTTGTTGAAACTTGAAATGTAAGTTTATAACCCAAAGATCTCGGTTCCTCCGGATATTCGCGCATATCGGACCGTAACTTCCTGAATTATGGCCCCTAATTGTATGAAAAATTGCGTTTTTAGCTTGTGGACCCTATAGAGGTCATAATTTTTATCCGATTTGAAAAAACGTATTATTATATCACTGTTACACCCTAAGAATTGCTGAGTTCGAATTTCGTGAAAATCAGCCCAAAATTGACAGACAAAATGGCCGTCGTTCGTTCTCAAATAGCGTAAAAATATGGTATATCAAGGTTGTGGAACCTATAGAGGTCGCAATTTTTATCCGATTTTGATGAAACTTGAAATGTAAGTTTATAACACAAAGATCTCAGTTCCTTTTGATATTCTCGCATATCGAATTGTAATTTCCTGAATTATGGCCCTTGATTGTAGGAAAAATCACTTTCTTGTTAGCTTGTTCTCTATCCATCTCTCGAAAATGTGGGCGTATCCTGCCTGGCAGCCGCTGGTTAAAAATAAATATAGATATCATTTATTTCGTATATTCTTCCATACAATAATAATACCCTGTGAGAAATTTGATAGTGTATTCTTAGAAGATCATTTTAGTGCATAATCTTTTTATTATTAGAATCGAAATGTGAACCACTTTTGCTTAGCAGTACATGGACATAGGGAGTCACTAGATTTTAGTAATTGTTCACAGTGTGCTTGTCATTAATGCACAGAAGAATTATTTATACTGTATGTAGCCTTATTCAATATGGTCAGCATCACCACCCTCCTTAAATCTTGTATAACCAGATCAGCTTAGAGTTATTTAATGAGGCATTAGCTATTGATATCTCGGCAGGTTGATGAGAAAGTAATTTTCAATTTTCATGGTTTGATTATAAAGTTACATAAGGGATGTTCTTATGAGATTGTATACATAATTTTAGAGAGATCTGTGAAACCATTGCTGAGGTATAGTTTTTATTAATCATTAAGAGTTTTACACATTTATAGCCTACAGTGTTTTATTGGGTTTAGTGGATGGTAGCTGATTGCTTGGATTTGCCATAATTATTGAAGTCTTTTTTTCTTGAAAGTCAAAATATGCAAGCTGCTTTTTATTTTTGTAAACCTATTCCAGTGCTTTTTGTTTTGAAACAAGATAATGTCAATGGATTGTTGTGGCTACTTCTGGTGGGAGTTTGATGCAAATTTTTTAAAAAAATTTTTTTAGTAATAATTGCACATTGTAACCCTTGAAATAACTGCATGAACAAATTTTTTGAACAGGCCTATTGATGTATGTGTACAAGATATAGTGACAATTTTCTTAATTTTTTTCTTATGTATATTTATTCTAATCTAATCTGTAAAAGAACTAGGTAATTACATGTAAGTCACATATACACATAGATTTGATATCGATCTATACTTATGACTCTAAATTAAACAGTGCCTTGAAGTTTGACACAATATATTTGTCCGGTAAATGGAGTTGAGCTTGGTATTAATTTAAAACTTCAAGTTTTAATGAACTTGCCCGGTTAAATAAATCTGGTTTTAATTTAATTATTACATTCATTTGGATGGTCACTGAAAGACACTGATCCGCAAGTGACTCTAGCATATAGCATAATAGTAACTTGTGATGAAGAAACAGTCAGTCAAATGCCTGGATAATCAAGCCTTTTAAAATATGGTTAGTGAACTCGTATTTATCTTAATCCATGACCATAATGCATCCTGGTTCACATTAATGAATTTTCTTTTTGTGTTTGAACTGTGATGAAAGATAAAAATTATAGTTAGTCATCATGGATATGCTAATTAATAGGTGTGATCAGTTTGCTAGTAAATGGCATAGAGAAAACTGTTTAATATCTTGATCTGTTTGGATTTATATATAGCTGTGATGTCACATTGTCTATAATATTTGTATTGTCTGCATTCCATATAATCATGATCTATTTTCATTCCACCCCATTATAAAAGTGCTTAAATGGTTGCTGGATTATTAATAAGAGTGTTCTAAGAGCTTTTTGTATTGTGTTATCATTCTGAAATTATACTGATAAAAATAAACACTGCACTTTCATATCACAATTATTGGACTTGTTTTTTTATTTGCATTTTGGACAAGGGAATGGTTCCTCAGTAAATCATAGCAACACAAGCGCAGATCCACAATTTCTTGTACTAGGGGGAACAATTCCTTAAGAGCCTGTTTGGTTTTGACCAGCAGACTAATGCAGTCTCTCAAAGGAAAAGGGCTATCTGGTAATATTCTGTTTGTTTTGGGTTTCGAATCTAAACTTTAGTTCCTATTATTTTTAACACTGGAGGTTAGCAAAGGAATGCTTTCGTCTCCTCTTGCAACAGAAACAGAGAGTTAATAAGGGACTGATATAAATTTTCTTGGTTCTACAGTTCACTATATAGAAATGCTGTACACACTACTGACCAAACAAAGATTTCGATGTAAATATACTATTCAAAATTGTAGGGGATATTTGATTTTTAAGTGTTATTAAAGTCACCTAATGAAACTGACGAAGAAACAAATGACAAAATGAAATGAAGTTCACATTCATCGATTTATTCCAAATGATCGTTAGACTAAGTAAGGCACAGACTGACCATTATAAGGGTAAAATGATACCCGGGGTCAAACAGCAAAGTTACCACAGCATCACAACCAAGTCAGTAACGGGTAAATCCTCCTCTGTTTGCCAAACAAGCATTGATCCGACCTGGCATACTCCTAATGAGACGTCTAAGGTCATTTTGGTCCAGATTGTCCCATTCCTGTTGCAACGCAGCAGCAAGTTCTTGGACATTGGCAGGACGTTGTTGACGTTGACGTAACCTCTGTCCAAGCATGTCCCAGACATGCTCGATGGGGGAGAGGTCGGGACTCAGTGCTGGCCAAGGTAATGTGGTGATGTTCTGTTGTTGGAGGTAACCTGTAACGATCCTGGCCCTGTGACATCTTGCGTTGTCATCCTGGAAGATGAAACGGCGGCCATGACGTCGTGCGAACGGCACAACATGGACTGCCAAGATGTTGTCCCGGTAGTACTGGCCTGTAACACGCCCTGCAACAATATGTAAAGCCGTTCTTCCAGCAACAGTGATGCCTCCCCACACCATAACAGAACCACCCCCAAATCAATCATGTCTGATGACGTTAACGTCTTGGAAGCGCTCGTTTCGACGACGCCACACCCTCCTACGTCTGGCCAAAAAATCAACAGTGAATCTTGACTCATCTGAAAACATCACATTGCTCCAGCGTCGATTATCCCAGTGTTGACGATCCCTACACCAACGACGTCTTGCCTGAATGTGATGATCTCTCAAACAAGGGATTACACGAGGACGTCGGGCGCGAAGGTGACCCCTATGCAGTCGATTCCGAATCGTCTGGCCACTCACTCACACCAGTGTCTGTTTGAAGACGAGCGCTGATCTGATTTCTGTGATGACACGATTTCTCAAGGCCAAGGTACGGATAAATCGATCCTGGGCTTGAGTTGTCGCCCTTGGTCGACCTGAGCGTGGTCTGTCCTGTACAGATTGTGTATCACGGTATCTGGACCATAGCCTGCTTATGACAGACTGAGAAACATTCATCGTCCGCGCCACAACCGCCTGTGTTGTGCCGATCTGTAGCATGCCAAGGGCACGTAACCTTTCATTTTGGGTAAGCCGACGCATATCAAAATTTGTTTTCTGGTCACTAAAACAATTAAACTGATGTTTCCACCCTGGAATTCAATGCCACAATGACTGTAACATTCAAAGTCAGAGTCGTGCAAATCTTGGGTTGGACCCCCATGATGATCCCAAGCATCACCTGCATTCCATGCGGTAGCTATTGGTGCGTTTGGGCGTCACATGTAACTGGAAATGTTTCTTCTGTTAGTCATTTGCATATTTTAGTATTATGCCCCCAAAATCAAATATCCCCTACTTTTTTTGAATAGTATATTAGTTTGAGATTTCAAATGAATAAGTTATCATTTCTTGAGTTGTAGTGTTGTAGCGGTTGTTGTATATCTGCAGACTGTCTTCCCTTCTATTGTGGTTTCTGTCCCACAAATGACGGTGTCAAAAGTCTGTATCAGTTATTCTCCAGTTCCACTCCTTCAATCTAATAGTAAGTGCAGGGGAACTGCACAACACAAAATTTACACAAAAACAAATACATGGACAAGACATCATACTCAGAAAAACAAAAACAAGCAAACAATTCAAAAAGGGTGAATGGATCCGGGGGCTAGCCGTAAGTGTCCACTGTGCTGTACAGTCCCGGGCCTGTAGTGACACAGACTTCACTCAGATTTGAAAACAATCAGGAATACAACAACCCAAAGAAACCATTGTGTAATGCCAGCATGTCATGATCTGCTATATATGCTACAAGAAATACAAATGCAAGCATATGTAGTAAAATTGAACTATACAAGTAACCACATCGGTGAAATGTATAAAAAAATAGTCTAAATCTAAATCAGTCAAGAAACGTTTCAGTATTCAATGGAATCGAGGTATATTGAATACATGATATAGGGTAAAATACAGATAATTGAAGCTGTCAACATTAAAGGGCCAATCTCGATTATATTTTGGAGAATAAAACTGCTTAATTTTGTGTTAAAAGCCCTTAAAATCCTCTACCTTAGGACTGAGCAAATAACTCAATATAAGTGATACATTTTCAAACAACTTAAACCTGTCATTCTTCATCTCGAAATAAGGACCAGTGTAAGAAGCTATATTATACAGTGTCTGGATAAAACTGTCCGTGTCCGTCCACAACTTGTTTCTGGACACTCTACAGGTCACAATTTTTATTCGATTTTGACGAAACTTAAAATATAGGTCTTTCTCCCACAGATCTCAGTTCCTTTCGATATTGGCATAAATCGTACCATAACCTCATGGATTATGGCCCCTGATAGTACGAAAAATCACGTTTTTAGCTTGTTGACAATCTACAGGTCACAATTTTCATCTCATTTTGATGAAACTTGAGATGCATGGTTATAACCAAAAGATCTTGGTTCCTTTCGACATTTGCACATATCGGATTGTAACTTCCTGAATTATGGCCCCTGATTGTACGAAAAATCACGTTTTTAGCTTGTGGTTCATCTAGAGGTAACAATTTTATCCAATTAAAAAAAACGTTTGAATATATCACCGCTACACCCTAATTATGGTTGAGTTCGAATTTCGTGAAAATTGGACCAAAACTGCCAGACAAATGACCACGCCTCATACGCAAATAGTGTAAATATATGGTTTATCAAGGTTGTGGACCCTCTAGAAGTCACAATTTTGATCCGATTTTGAAATACATGTATATCTTTCTAACCCAAAGATCTTGGTTCCTGTCGATATTCGCACACATTGGATCTTAACTTCTTGAATTATGGCCCTTGATTGTATGTAAAATCTCTTTTTATACGCCCACATTGAAAACTGGTCGTATATTGTCGTCGGTCTAGAGGCTAAAGTTGATATCCGATTGACTTTAAATTTATACACAGTGTTTAAGGTCATGAGACGAAGAAGCCAATTGATATTCAGTGATTTCCGATAATTACTGCCAGTGTTATAACCCTTGATCACTTGAAAAAAATGTTGTGGACGCTCTAGAGGCCAAAGTTAATATCCGATTGACATTAAATTTATACACAGAGTTTAGGGTCATGAGACGAAGAAGCCTATTGATTTTCCGATAATTACTGCCAGAGTAAAGACCCTTGATCACTTCAAAATATCTTGTGGATGCTCTAGATCTAGAGGCCAAAGTTAATATCCGATTGACTTTAAATTTATACACAGTGTTTAAGATCTTGAGACAAACAAGGATGTTGATTTTCAATGAATTTTGATAACTTGAACAGCTAAATCCATGATGTTAAATGTTTCGTATACTAAACGTTAGCATGGGGCAGAACTTTATAAAAACCAAACAAATTCTAATGATTTTCTGATAATTACTTAAGGAGTTGTTACTCTTGTCTTAATCACATTTTAATGTATTATAAATGTTTCATTACCGAAAAAAGTAAAAATATGCGACAACTCTTGTTGACTGCCCAGACAATTTAGCTGCTGTGGGCGTATGTTTTGTTGCCTGGCAAGTGGCAACCTATCTTTGTTTAGCTTGTTCTCTATTCATCTCTTGCAAAATGTGGGCATATCTGCCTGGCAGCTGCAGGTTTTATAAAAATAACGTGTAGGTAAAATTTACCTTTCGTTATTAAGTACAGCACATGGGTCATGCACTGTATAGACCTCTAAAGGAACGGTAATAGATTATCAGGTCAACCAATGAAAAAATTGACCCGAAATCTACTAAGGGTTATGTGTCCGGATAAGCAGTTTTGAAGTTCACATCCAAACGACTCAATATGTTGAGCTGAAATTTTCAGACGAGGTAAATAGTAAATACACCATTCCTCTTCACTTTGGCGCTTAAATTTCACATGAACATAGACTTTTATTTCCGAAACTCTGTTAAAATCAGGATGGTACCTTACTACCTTTAAATTTCTATCATTTCCTGTAAAATAAGGTAACTGACAAACATCTTCTCAAAGCTGAGGTAATTCACAAATGATTTGATGTAAAATGCGGACTCCCCCATCTCCTTATGATATCATCTATGTGCAACTAAATATTATAATCATCCCCCCCCCCCCCCCCCGGGGTGTAGGGGGTGATAAGAATATACCCTTCGTATTTCCGGCTTGTTGTAAGAGGTGACTAAAAGGATCCCTGTAATGGGGCAACGTGTTTGCCTTGCGTTGAGACCTGTGAGAATTGAGTGGGGATTTAGCTTACTTTGGCCCATTATTTAATTTTAATAATATTAACTGTGATACTGGTTTTTATTTATGTATATTAATATTTGGTGATTTCATTTAATGTGTCTTGTAAATATCACCATATGTTTGGCGCAATATAGCCCAGTTGGAACTGCCGTGCCATTAAACAATATTTCATTCATTCATTATAATCATCCACACAATAACACTTTCAAATTATAAATAGAAATTTCTGTTTATTTTAAAATAACATCATCTGAATACAGCTGAATTAGACCATTGATGAAAACTAAGCTGTGATTGATCAAAATATTGCATCACCTCCAATCAAAAGCTACTTATGAATAGTAACCTGTCATGGGAGGAGGATGTGACAGCTACATACCCCTATGTATTGGATAAAAACGTAAATAAATTAAAATCTAATATGTTTTAATAGATAATATGTCCATCTTATAATATACATTAACAATAATTTGTAATTTATAAAAAAGCTCACATTCAGCAACAAATGGTACAAAAGCTGGGAGAACAAGCCAACAGTGAGGATGATGTACCCCACCGAAATCCCAAAATAAATAGATGACACATATTAATTAATCACACATTTATTTTTTTTCAAAAGTTTCAAGCAATTAAACTGATTATCGACTATACATTAAGTTTCATCACTCTCTATCAGATAGAATCAAAGTTATCTTGTCCCAAAGCATCGACCATTAAGAGTAGGACGTAGTGCTGCTGTCCAGGCAAATTTTCCCTCATAGCACACTGTATGGTGTATGCCCGTCTTCATTAGCCCAGATCGGAGCAGAACAGAGGGACGTTAATCCCCATTTCATTTCATTTCATTTTAATTAAAAGCAGAGTTGTTATGTTTCAAAGTTTTGGCCAATCAAATTGCTTATAGCCTAAGCAGAAAATTCTCATCATCAAACTTAGTCAAGGTAATGATATAATGAATCTATGCTCAGAGTTTCATCACTTTCACTTAATTATTACCAAAGTTATCGTGTCCCAAAGCATCAACCAATCAGATTGCTTATCTCTGCTTACCGTAAGCAGACAATGTTTATCATTGATCTCCATCAAGACATTGACCTAATGAACACCTACACCACGTAGGAACATTCTAGCTCAATAAGAAGGAGAGTTATTGTGTTCCAAAGTCTCAGCCAATCAAATAGCTTACCCTGAACAGAAAATGCTCATTATCGGACTTCGTCAAGGTATTGATGTAATGAAACTATACACCAAGTTTCATCACTTCATCACTTAATTGGAACTAAAGTTATCGTGTTCCAAAGCGATCAAATTGCTTATCTCTGCTTACCCTAAGTAGAAAATGCTCATCTTTGAACTCCATCATTGACCTAATAAACACCTACACCAAGTTTGAACCTTCTAGCTCAATTAGAACAGACGGACCAACAGACAGACGAACCCATTTTAATAGTCCCCTGCTTTCTTCGAAAGGTGGGGGACAAATATCACATTTATTTCTATTCTTGACCAACATCAAATTTTTGTTTTGAAAAATTATTGGCTTACTGTGTGTAGATAGTGGAACACTAAATCAGTTATATTATATCAACCCTGGTTTTATCTAAAAACATATGGTTCTCAACACCTGATTATCATCCTACTAAACAAATTGACAAACTTGAGATGGCCATAATTTCTAAATGTCAGCATTGGTCAATAAATTTTATGCTTTTTTTTAACAAAGACTAACGTTACTTATTTTAATAAGTTATGGTCTGGATTCTGGAAGTCTATATATGCCTATTGGTCTGGAAAAATGTGCCTTTTCAAAACCACTCATTCTCTTTGTACATCAAACCGTCGGGTGAATAGCTGTGAACTACTCAAGGATTCTATATTAAATTTGAGCCTAGGGTGGTTTGAGATGGTCTAGGAAGCATTAGTTTCAGACATTCTTGAAAATGAGCAATAAAACTCAATATAAAAAACAACACATTTCTCTAGTCAATATTTACATGCACCAAGTGATATAGAGTGTAATTTACATTATTACAAGCCCTACTTCTATAATAGTTCAAAGCAAAGGCATAAGGACCATTATAGGTTTTCTAGAAAAAATGAACGTGATTGTATATTTTCTTGTATGATAAATGTGACTACATGCCCTTTGATTATGCATTAAGAAAAAAAAACAACTACTTTGAAGCACATCAAAAACACACCAGTGATACGCCCACATTTTGCAAGAAATGGATAGAGAACAAGCTAAAAACAAAAACGATTTTTTGTACAATCAGGTACCATAATCCAGAAAGTTATGGTCTGAAATGCGCAAATATAGACAGGGACTAAGATTTTGGGAATATAAAGATATACTCAGCCAAATTAAAAACTTGACACTGATGAATTTCAACAAATTTTTTTTTCTGGTAAGTCAAATAAATTTTAAAGTGTTTCTAACGATAGTAAGTAGTAAGAAGCCTTTAATTTCATAAAATTGTAAAGTCACGTGGATCACGTGACTTTTGAGCATATAAAGATGAAAAACCTGAAAAACACGTGCAAACACAAACTCGTGAGGTCAATCAATGCAAGTTTGCTTAAACTGAACACGCACACGTAACTTGAACTGGAAAAACAAATTAAAATTGTTATTTTCATCTTTGTTAGAAAATGCCGCGCCTTTCAAATGTAGAACGTCTACGTGCTATAGGTAGGCTCTATGCTGGTCAGTCTGTGGTCACTGTTGCAAGAGCCTTTAATTGTTCACGCCAGACAATAATTAATCTTAGAATGCGTGTGCTTCAAACTGGAACTACTGCCGACTGCCCAATGGCCGGAGCGCCACGTGTGACGTCACTGCAGGAAGATCAAGCAATATGATTACGTCATCTTAGAAACAGATTTGTCACTGCAACCTCCACAAGTAGAGAGATGTTTGGTGGAAGGGTAACTGCACAAACTGTTCAAAATCGCTTGCAGGCTGCTGGTCTTCGACTCGAGCTCGGATGCCCTATAATGGACCAGTATTGACACCAACTTGTGTGGGCCACAAGACACATAAGATTTACTCAAAGACAGAGGAATTCGGTTGTCTTTAGTGACGAATCTCGATTCACTTTGAGATTTGCCGATGGCAGGGCCCGAGTGTACCACAGACGAGGTGAACGTTACGCTCAAGTATGCGTCAGAGAAGTTGACCGATTTGGTGGCAGCAGCGTCATGGTTTGGGGTTCTTTTTGTGCACATGGACGTTCTCCTCTTGTTGTTGTCCAAGGGAACTTAAATGCTGTCCAGTACAGGGATCAGATTTTGCAACCTGTTCTTCTTCCGTTTATGCAGAGACATGGGCCTGGACTAACGTTTCAACAAGACAATGCTTGACCCCATACAGCAATTGCTACCCAGAATTTTTTAAGAAATGCTGGTGTCCAAGTCCTGGATTGGCCGTTGCTTAGCCCCGACCTTAATCCTATTGAACACATCTGGGATGAACTGGGTCGACGTGTTCGTCAGCAAGTGAATCCACCACTGACGTTGCGGGACCTTCAACATGCTCTTGCTGAGCAGTGGCGACGTCTTCCTCGGGTAGTGTTTACTAATGTTCTGAGATCCATGAGAAGACGTTGTGTGGCAGTACGAGGTGGCAGTACGAGGCGCTAGAGGAGGCCACAACCGTTACTAAACACTTTATTCCGATTGTTCTCCAAGTCTGTGAATTTCATTTTGGGGGGTACTGTGACATCACGAACGTTATCAATGTCAAGGACTTTCGGCGAGACGTATTCTTGCTTTCTGTTGATGTCAAGGTCGTCTGTGCACAACATAACACTAAAATAGTTGCCTTAAACCAAATATTAAAAATCTAGTCCCAAAAATCCTGAGTGTCAAGTTTTTAATTTGGCTGAGTATATTTTTTAAGTTTCATCAAAATCGGATAAAAGTTGTGACCTTTAGAGGGTCCATAACCTTTGTATTTACATACTTATACACAATTTGCGTACAAAGAGCGGTCATTTTGTCGGGCAGTTTCATTTCAATTTTCACAAAATTCACATTCAACCTTCATTATGGTGGAATGGTGATATATCTAAACGGTTTTTAAAATGGGAAAAAAAATTGTGACCTCTAGAGAATCCACAAGCTAAAAATGCGATTTTTCGACCAATCAGGGGCCATAATCCAGGAAGTTACGTTCGGATATGTGTGATTATCATAAGGAACCAAGATCTTTATGATAAAAACATATATTTAAAGTTTCATCCAAATTAGATAAAAACTGTGGCCTCTAGAGGATCCACAACCTTGATATACTATATTTTTACACTATTTGAGTACACTTGGCGGCCATTTTGTCTGTCAGTTTTAGTCCGATTTTCACGAAATTCAAACTCAACCATCATTAGTGTATAACTGTGATATATTCTCACTTTTTTTTAAAACAGATAAAAATTGTGACCTATATAGGGACCACAAGTTCAAAACGCGATTTTTCGTACAATCAAGGGCCATAATCCATGACGTTATGGTCTGATACATGCCAATATCGAAAGGAACCGAGATCTGTGGGAGATAGACCTATATTTTAAGTTTCGTCAAAATCGGATAAAAATAGTGACCTGTAGAGTGTCCAGAAACAAATTGTGAACGCACGGACGGACGGACGGACAGGGGCGACGACAATATACGTCCACATGAAAATGTGGGCGTATAAAAACAATTTACATTTCAACAAAGTATATGATAAATAAACATACCACTGATAAAATGATAATTCCAAGTTAATATTATTTAAGCAGCGTTTACACGATACAATCAATCCATTCAATTGTCGGATGCAACTGTCGCATCCTACCAACTAATCAGACAAATGGTCAGATGGACGGCTTATTGCATGGATAGGATCAGTTCTATTCTCATCCAACCAACTCATGCAATGGCCAATCAAAGTACGTTATATTAGACAACGTCATACGCCGTATGACGTCATATCTGACTTGGCAACCAGAATTCCTGATTAATAAGATGTCTTCTTCTGTCGCTTCGAGGTCTTTGATCTCCTCTAAAATGGATCTAAACCTATCCAGGACTGAATTCGAATATATAATAACTCTGTATGGGAAGCAAAGTCTTTGTGGAACCCGCGGCATAAAGACGGGGATAAGAAGTGTCGTCTTACTGCCAATTTATTCAGTTACTAAGAAGGAATAAATGTTGCCATACAACGAATAGAACCATTGTATCGTGTAAACAGTCGTCCAATATGTTGCATATGACGGTTGTATGGATTGGTTGTATCGTGTACACGTCTGGAATAATTGCCATTTGACAAACTTTATCTATATCAAAGTTGCTTGCAAAAGACATTGCACAAAGTTACATACTTTCGGTAATTAACTCAGGTGTATTATAAAATCAGAGTAAAATGTGATGATGAGACGGATGCAAAACGATACTGCTCAGTGTAAAATAATTAACTTAAAGAGTATGTAAATAACTAATAGTTAAAGTTTTGGAAATGTAAATTATGTTGAGGAGATGGCTGTACACTTTTTCGTTCAATATGGTAATATGGAAACCATATTTTTATTTCTTCAATTACTGCTTTATATATAACATATCAATTTTTTTAAAAAGAATGAACCTTTTTTAAATGTTCCTCACTTTGTTGGACTATTACTAAAAGGCTGTATTAGTGGGATCTGACACAGCAGTGTCTTATAACAAAACTAGTAGAATTATATGGGACAACAATCACTGGTTTATTACACAAAAGCATGCCATTTCATATTCAGTAAGCATGCTGTTATTTTTGTCTTCATTAGCCCAGATGGGGCAGAAAAGTAGGGTGTTAAATCCCATTTCATTTCATTTCTTATACTTATCAAGTACACTTGCAGTTATTGTCATCTAATATAATTGTACATCATGTTGTTATGTGGCTAAATGTCACTATCATACTATAGGGATTAATGTCTTATAATATATCATATCTGTATCTGGAATTCCAACTCTGCTCCACTTTTAAGACCAATTTATATCACTCCTGCAACTGGCCTTAATAGTTGGATTGCAATTTATTGTTTTTCACGGTAGATCTTCATGTAAACTTTTGTATTCTTTTTCTCTCTTAGCAAATGTCTGTGCTACAAGTAATGGAAATATTAGGGTTGCTTCACCATAAACCTACAAATAATAATCAAACAGGAAAATAATATTTAGAAATTAAAATTTCTTATATTAGAAATGGAAACGGAAAAAAAAGATTATCTCTAACAAAAATCTGGTTTATATCTCAAATAAGGACACAATTAGTTTTAGATGTCTATAATGTTAAGTCAATAATATAACATCCCCTGTGTTTTAAAATTGTATTATTTTGAGAACCTCTGTTGGTTGTTACTTTTATAGTTAACTGTTTGGAAATCTTTTATGTTTTAAATGGGATCTGGGCCCTGGGCAGTTTAATTATTCTTGTGGGGGAAAAAGAACAAATTGCAAGAATCTATCTGAGTTCAATGTGAACTCTTGTATACACTAAGTAAAGGAATACAGTTCAATGTCACTACCAACATATTGTGTGGTTCTTTTTTGTACCTTTGTAATTATATTATTACTTAACAATCTCACCTTGACTGGATTAGCTTCTTTTCGTATTTTACCCCAGGATATAGCTTCATCTGGCCTAGCACCGGAATCACTGCCATCAAATTCTGATGCTGTATTTACAAACACTGAAAAATCAGCTCCATTTCTCTGCAAGAAATTATAAATAGAAAATCATTGAACTTAAAATTCAAATTAATTTATTCATATGTAAAAAGACTGGTTGCCAGGCAACAAAATATACATCCAATTAAACTAAATTCAATTAATTTATTCATACATAAAAATACTGGTAGCCAGACGAAGAAGCATACATCCAAAGCTGCAAGTTGTCAGAGCTATCTTTAAAGATTTTTGCATTGTGATACTTCAGATAAATAAAGACAGATTACCAGGCAACCAAACATACGGCCACAACAAGAGTTGTTGCATATTTTATCTATTGTCAGTTTAAATGAAACATTTATAATACACTAAAATCTGACTAAACATACATTATGCAAGAGCATTAACAAAACAAGACCATAATTGACTCTCCGTGGCATCGGATACTCAAGATTTTAAATAGATTAAAATGGTTCGCCATTGAGAGTAACCTAATCAACTCTCGATGCCACCTTATGTGTCGGATTATCACCGGATTTGAATCTGATCTGCTGCTCAACGCTCACTGATGATTAAATAAAAAATGTATAATTGAGACTATGTTTTTTATCGTACCGACTTCAGTAATGATGATCGAGGCTAGGCCAAAAAATCAATCGCTAATATCTTGGTTCAGAGTAGAGTAATTTGACTGAAATTTTCAGCATATTCCCTTTACATTATCTAGTTTTTAACTATTATAGTGAGAACTGCCAGCTCTTTATCTGATCTTCCATAATGTATCATTAGAATTTGTTTGGTTTTTAGTTCTGCCCCATGGTAACATTTATTATATGAAACATTTAATATCATGGATTTAGCTGTTCAAGTTATCAAAATTCATTGAAAATCAATATACTTGTTTGTCTCAAAACCTTAAACTCTGTGTATCAATCTAAAGTCAATTGGATGATAACTTTGGTCTCTAGAAGATTTTTCAAAGTGATCAAGGGCCACAACTCTGGCAGTAATTATCTGAAACCATTGAAAATTACTATGCTTCTTTGTCTCATGACCTTAAACATTATGTATAAATTTAAAATCAATCAGATATTAACATTAGCCTCTAGAGCGTCCACAAGATTTTTCAAAGGGATCAAGGGCCATAACTCTGGCATTAATTATCAGAAATTGCTGAAAATCAATAGGATTCTTCGTTTCATGACCTTAAACACTGTGTATCAATTTAAAGTCAATCGGATTTGAACTTTAACCTAAGAGTGTCCACAAGTAATTGTGGACGCCGGACCAATGGACGGACGGACGGACGGACGGGTGCGACGACAACATACAACCACAATTTGGTAAGATTACATGTATGGTGATGTGTAACTACTCCCCTTACCAGTATTAAAGACTTACCATAAGATTGGCATTACATGTATGATGTTTAACTACACCTCCACCTAATATTATCATACCAGTATTTATAGCATACACAGCCTGATTATTAATTCTTCGTATATCTACAAAATATAATAATTTATATAACATAAGCAACTAATTGGGGTATATGTAACATTTAAAAGATAAATCAGGTAAACGGTAGATAAATTTTTTCAGTTCACTACTCCATTAATACAATTAGATTATACAAACCAGCGGCTGCCAGGCAGGATACACCCACATTTTGCAAGAGATGGATAGAGAACAAGCTAAAAACAAACAGGATTTTTTGTACAATCAGGGGCAATAATCCAGAAAGTTATGGTCTGAAATGCGCAAATATCAAAAGGGACTGAGATCTTTGGGATATAAAGATATGATTTAAGTTTCATCAGAATCGGACAAAAATTGTGACCCCTAGAGGGTTGACAACCTTCGTATTGCATACTTTTACACTATTTACATTTCAAGTTTCATAAAAATCAAAAGAAAATGGTGACCTCTAGAGGGTCCACAACATTGATATACCATATTTTTACACTATTTGAGTACAAGGAGCGGCCATTTTGTCTGTCAACTTTGGTCCGATATTTACAAAATTCGAACTCAACTATCCTTTGGGTGTAATGGTGCTATAATAATACGTTTTTTTAAATCGGATAAAAATTATGACCTCTATAGGGTCCACAAGCTAAAAATCTGATTTTTCGTACAATCAGGGGCCATAATTCAGGAAGTTACGGTCAGATATGCGTGAGATCTTTGGGTTATAAACTTACATTTCCAATTTCAACATCTTGCATAAAAGTTGTGACCTCTATTTGGTTCACAACCTTGATGTACCATATTTTTACCCTATTTGAGAACGAGGGGCGGCCGTTTTGTCTGTCAGTTTTGGGCCGATTTTCACAAAATTTGAACTCAGCTGTCTTTAGGGTGTAACGGTAATATAGTAATTACAGTTTTTTAAATCGGATAAAAATTATGACCTCTATAGGGTCCACAAGCTAAAAACGCGATTTTTCGTACAATCAAGGGCTATAATTCAGGAAGTTACAAACCGATATGTGCGAATATCGAAAGGAACCATGATCTTTGGGTTATAAACATGCATTTCAGGTTTCATCAAAATCAGATCAAAATTGTGACCTCTACAGTGTCCACAAGTTAAAAACGTGATTTTTTTCGTACAATCAGGGGCCATAATCCATGAAGTTATGGTCCAATACATGCTAATATCGAAAGGAACCGAGATCGTAGGGAGATAAAGCTATATTTCAAGTTTCGTTGAAATTGGATAAAAATTGTGACCTGTAGAGTGTCCACAAACAAATTGTGGACGGACGGACAAACAGGGGCGACGACAATATACGTCCACATGAAAATGTGGGCTTATAAAAAGAAAACCCAGAAGAATTTGGTTGATTAATTTAGTTATAGGTTTATCTGGTAACATAAATAATATTTGCTTACCTTCTACTACGTCTATAACAAGACCTGGATTTTTATAGGAATGAAAATAAATCATATCACCAATAGATCCATCAGTTATAGCTGGACTAAATACTGGTATATTATTCTAAAATATCAAATAACAAAATCAATAATAGATAGATCTGTTTTAACTGGACTAAATACTGGTTAAACAAGCCAACATTGAGGCTGACGTCCCCCGCCGAAATCCCAAAATAAATAGATGACACATTAAATAAACGCACATTTATTTTTTTCAAAAGTATCAAGCAATCAAACTGATTATAAACTAAACACTAAGTTTCATCACTCTCTATCAGATAGAATCAAAGTTATCTTGTCCCAAAGCATTGACCAATGAAATTGCTTAGCTCTGCTTAGCTTTAGCTTGAAATGTTAATCATTGAACTCAGTCAAGACAATGACCTAATGAACATCTACATCAAGTTTAAACATTCTACCTCAATTAAAAGCAGAGTTATTATGTTCAAAAGTCTTGACCAATCAAATTGCTTATCGCTCCTTAGCCTAAGCAGAAAATTCTCATCATCAACTTAGTCAAGGTAATGATATGATGAATCTATACTCGGAGTTTCATCATTCTCACTTAATTATAACCAAAGTTATCGTGCCCCAAAGCATGAACCAATCAGATTGCTTATCTCTGCTTACCGTAAGCAGAGGATGTTTATCACCAAACTCCATCAAGGCATTCACTTAATGAACGCCTACACCAAGTTTGAACATTCTACCTCAATTATAAGGACAGTTATTGTGTTCCAAAGTCTCAATCAATCAAAATGCTAATTGCTCTGCTTACCCTGAGCAGAAAATGTTCATTATCGAACTTAATCAAGGTATTGATGTGATAAAACTATACACCAAGTTTCCTCACTCTCACTTAATTTGAACTAAAGTGATCGCATCCCAAAGCATCAACCAATCAAATTGCTTCTCTTACCAGAAAATTCTCATCTTCGAACTCAATCAAGGCATTGACCTAATAAACACCTACACCAAGTTTGAACATTCTTGCTCAATAAGAAGGAGAGATATTGTGTCCAAAAATGTGTGACGGACAGATAGACGAATGGACAGACGGACAGACAGACAGAAAGACAGACACAGACAGATAGATAAGACACAGACAGACAGATAGACACACAGACCCATTTTAATAGTCCCCTGCTTTCTTCGAAAGGTGGGGGACAATAACCATATCAATAATATTTCATCTGTAATAGCTAGACTGGTATATTATTCTAAATTATTAAGACTTATTAAAGATGCATTAGTTAAGAGTTTTATAAAGAGTTGGCCATTCTTGCTATAATAATTCAAAAATAGATGATAAAAAAGAAAATGTTGAAAATTTCAGTCAAATTATTTTGTTCTGAACGGAATTGTCATTGTTGGAAGTTTGGACTAGAAATAGGCATAAATTGTGTCTGCACCGTCCATGAGAATTGGCAATCGTTTGATTGACAGACGATAACTCCACCCACATATTCTCGATTATCAAGTATGATGCTCAATGGCTATGGTAGGCTCGCTTCCGGTAGTGACATCAGTGACTAACGGTAAAGGTTAGCTTGGTCCACCATTTATTGATTTAATTTTAAAAAGACGACTGTTTAAATCCAAACTGTATCCAACCATCCGTGGGTCTACAGAGGGAGGGAGATTTGTATTTTTGTGTTTTCATTTTGTCAAAGGATCAATACTTTTCATACTGGGCTAAATGACTTCACATAAACATCACATTTCAAGGCAATACATTTATTTCATCATATCGTTCATAGCAATGTATGATTATCCAGTATCATTTATGACCTTTAGTAACATTTATCAGGGTTGTGTACTTGATAAATGAGTCTTAACCACATTCTGGATTCATTCAATTATTTTTATGGAGCTAGTTTCTGTAACCAGGTAAAAACATGGAAATAAAAACAGATTTTGCAGCTCTTTTTAAGTTACGATTGATTATCTGAGAGCCAAAATATTTTTAAAATGGCCTATAACCATTTTATTAGTCTATTAGGTCTTCATATCCGGTTCAGTGAACATAAACATACTTACTTTATACGCCCAGTAATAGACAGAATCTTCATTATCAATTTCTTTACCTAACCGTGCTATCATCTTAGATGGTGTCCACAATGTGCCCTATAAAATTATATATAATATTAGCATATAGGGCCATGTTCTTTCAAATTCCCAAAATATTACAGGCCATGTTTCAGTTAAAAGAAAAAGATAGTTTGCCATTCAACGAAACATACACCCACAGCATCTATATCGTCCGGGCAGTCAACAAGAGTTGTCGCATATTTTTACTTTTTTTGGTTAAAACCATTAGAATTTGTTTGGTTTTTATAAAGTTCTGCCCCATGCTAACGCTAAGTATACAAAACTTTTAATATCATGGATTTAGCTGTTCAAGTCATAAAGATTCATTGATAATCAATATACTTGTTCGTCTCAAGACCTTAAGTGATTAAGGGCCATAACTCTGGCAGTAATTATCGGAAATCGCTGAAAATCAATAGGCTTCTTCGTCTCATGACCTTAAACACTGTGTATAAATTTAAAGTCAATCGGATATTAACTTTAGCCTCTTTAGTGTCCACAAGATGATCAATTGATCAAGGGCCATAACTCTGGCAGTAATTATCGGAAATCGCTGAAAATCAATAGGATTCTTCGTCTCATGATCTTAAACACTGTGTATAAATTTAAAGTCAATCGAATGGATAATAACTTTAGCCTCTAGAGTTTCCACAAGATTTTTCAAAGTGATCAAGGGCCATAACTCTGACATTAATTATCGGAAATCGCTGAAAATCAAATGGCTTCTTCGTCTCATGACTTTAAACACTGTGTATAAATTCAAAGTCAATCGGATATTAACTTTGACCTCTAGAGCGTTCACAAGATTTAATGAAGTGATCAAGGGCCATAACTCAGCAGTAATTATCGAAAATCGTTGAAAATCAATAGGCTTTTTCGTCTCATGACCTTAAACACTATGTATAAATTTAAAGTCAATCAGATATTAACTTTTACCTCTAGAGCGTCCACAAGACTTTTTGAAGTGATCAAGGGCCATAATTCTGGCAGTAATTATCGAAAATCGCTGAAAATCAATAGGATTCTTCGTCTCATGACCTTAAACACTGTGTATCAATTTAAAGTCAATCGGATATTGTCGGATATCAGGGTTTCACACATCATGATAATCACAACCTGTGGCTGCCTGGCAGGATACGCCCCCATTTTTCAAGAGATGGATAGAGAACAAGCTAAACAAAAAGCGATTTTTTGTACTGTCAGGGGCCATAATGCAGGAAGTTATGATCCGATATGCGCAAATATCGGCAGCAACCAAGATCTTTCGGTTATAAACATACATTTCAAGTTTCATCAAAATTGGATCAAAAATGTGCGCTCTAGAGGGTTCACAACCTAGATATACCAGATGTTTACACTATTTGCGTAGACGGGCGGCCATTTTGTCTGGCAGTTTTGGTCCGATTTTCATGACATTCGAACTCAGCTAACAATATGGTGAAACGGTGATATATTCAAACGTTTTTATTAATCAGAATAAAATTGTGACCTCCATAGGGTCCACAAGATAAAAAACATGATTTTTGTAAAGTCAGGGGCCATAATTCAGGAAGTTACGGTCCGATATGCGCGAATATCGAAAGGAACCAAGATCTTTGGGTTATAAACTTACATTTCAAATTTCAACAAAATCAGATAAAAATTGTGACCTCTATAGGGTCCACAAGCTAAAAACGCGATTTTTTGTACAATCAGGGGCCATAATCCATGAAGTTACGGTCCGATACATGCCAATATCGAAAGGAACCGAGATCTTAGGGAGATAAACCTATATTTCAAGTTTCGTTGAAATCGGATAAACATTGTGACCTGTAGAGTGTCCACAAACAATTGTGGACGGACGTCCAGACGGACAGGGGCGACGACAATATACGTCCACATGAAAATGTGGCGTATAAAAATGTTATCTATCGTTTGATTGGTTCTATATTAAAATCCCCTGGAAACTAAGGTGCGGATTCACCAATGAAGTGAGCCGTAGCAATGGAAAATCCCCCGGCTGTTTGAAGTCAGAGCGGTATTTTCCCGCGAGCGTCTCCCATACATAAACGTTAATTTCGGTTACATTTTGATAATTTTTTTAGCCTGAATCTTTGCAGATATTGAGATTGATATTAAACTATTACAATACAATTGCTAGTAATATATTTATATAAAATAGTAATTCCTGCTAAAGTCATGTGACCTGCAACCCCCACTTCTTACAGGTCCATTAGCTAAAAATGTGATTTTCCGAAAAATCAGGGGCCATAATCCAGAAAGTTACGTTCGGATATGCGCGATTATTGAAAGAAACCACGATCTTTGTAATGTAAACATAAATTTAGAGTTTCATGAAAATCGGATCAAAATTGTGGTCTCTAGAGGGATCACAACCTTGATATACCATATATTTGTACTATTTGCGTAAAAGTGGCTGCCATTTTGTCCAGCAGTTTTGGTTCAATTTTCACGAAATTCGAAATCAAACATCATTTGGGTGCAACGATGATATATTTAAAAAAATTTTTTAAAAATTGGTTAAATATTGTGACATCTAAAGGGACCACAAGCTAAAAATGCAATTTTGCCTAAAATCAAGGGTCATAATTCAGGAAGTTACGATCCGATATGCTTGAATATCGACAGGAACTGGGTTATAAACATGTATTTCAAGTTTCATTAAAATCGGATCAAAATTGTGACCTCTAGTGGGTTCACCTCGATATACCATACATTCGGATATGCACAATTATCGAAAGGAACCAAGATCTTTGTGATATAAACACAAATTTAAAGTTTCATCAAAACTCTAGAGGTTCCACAACCTTGATATATCATATATTTGCACTATTTGCGTACAAGGGGCAGCCATTTTGTCCGATTTTCACGACATTTGAACTCACCTATGTAACAGTGATATAATAGAACGGTGTTTTAAATCGGATAAAAATTGTGGCCTCTAGAGGATTCACAAAAAACATGATTTTTCGTACAATCAGGGGCCATAATCCAAGAAGTTACGGTCCAATATGCACGAATATCGACAGGAACCATGATCTTTGGGTAATAAACATACATTTTAAGTTTTATCAAAATCGGATCAAATTTGTGAACTCTAGAGCGTCCACAAGCTAAAAACATCACTTTTCGTACAATCAGGGGCCATGCAGTGTGCTATGAGGGAAATTTTGCCCAGACAGTGGCACTATGGCCTACTCATATATCGAATTCCAACTGTCAAGGGATCTTTTACGTGCACGCAAATGTATACATGGGACCTCAGTTTTTCGTCCCATCCGAATGACTAGTCAGCTGTCCTTGTCAGGTCTCCCATCCTGCACCACTGACAAGGAGAAACCACGCCATAAATAGTCAGTATAATCATGAAAATTGCAGAACAATGCTTTACATTATATACTTGATACTGTTTATTACCTGTTCTTTCTGTTCCTGTATCATCTGATCTAATATAGGCATCAACCAATCTTCAAATTTACAATAATTATTATTAGGTACCAATAAATTACCAATTCTATTAATACCCTGTTCTCGTAACTTTCGACCTGATAGATGAAAGTCACCAAGGTACGTTTCACCTATACATTTAATAAAATCTTCTTCTATACCTCCAGCAGTTGTAACAATACAATCTACCTACATATATAAATAATTATACATCACAATGCAGCATATTAACCTCCACTCCACACAAAATAGGTCATTTTGGGTCTAAATGGTTCAATTTTATTTCAATACTTTGCATGCATGTACATGTAGGGTAGGTTTTTTAAGCAGTGACAGGAAACTGGTTGACCCATAGCAAACCCACGAGTTTGGGCTGGCAACCCTACTGCTCGAAATCACACCACTTGACTCAATGACAGACACTATGATCTAGTGCATGTGTTAAACCATTCGGCCATGCAACCCCCTCAACAAATAAGCCTTTATGATGTAGCTTAAACTTTAAAGATACATTAGTTAAGAGTTTAATAAAGAGTTGGTCATTCTTGCTATAATAATTCAAAAATAGATGATAAAAAAGGAAAATATTGAAAATTTCATTCAAATCACATCAGTCTCAGCCAAGTTATCATTGTTTGTAGTTTTGACAAGATGTGTGCACAGTGGTAACCAAAGCACTGGTATAATTGGGACTAAGCCTCGCTTTCCCATTTTTAAATTAAATTTTTAAATGGCGAATCGTTTTAATCTAGTTAAAATCTTGAGTATCCGATGCCATCAAGAGTCGATTATGGTCTTGTTTTGTTAATAAATGTCTAATTAATAGTTTATATAACATTTCAGGGCCTAAAGAAAGACCTGCAATAGGCAGATTTAGCTCTTGCATAGTGTATGTTTAATAAACTGATCCTTCTGTGTGAATAAGATTTTTAAATCTGGTAAAACTATACATAATATTACTTCTTATTTATTGATTTTATCACCCTCTTGATAAAAACTGATCTTCATATGACTAATGCCTAAACCTCAACATAACACATGTGGTTTATACAGCCCATTAAACTGTTTTGACAAAATTACAATAGAATTACAATAGAGTTTCATTAAACAATACCGGTTCCCACTTATGATAGATCCCAATCAAAATAGACATATGTCTAGCTATTGCAGGAGATCTCACTCTTGTGAAAAATTATGATATATATCCAGATATTTTTAAAAAACTTACCATATTGTGCTGAACTAGATATTTAAATATTTCTCGTACTCCAGCAGAAATCAGATTAGACGTATAACTTAAAAAGATGGTACAGTTACTCTTTTTACGTTGACAAGGATTCACACTGATTTCTGCTTGTTTTTCACTTGGAATTGGTTTCATCTTCATATCTATCTGAAATAAGTAGGAAAATGGATCTATCTTTCAAGAACTCTGCCCTGTATATTGTTTATAAGAAGGACCAACAGCCAAACAGGGATGATGAAGATATTCTGCCACAGAATCAAAACATGCAAAAATTATAACTAACCTACTTTTTTTTAAAAACACAAAACAACTACAGTTGAACTTGTATTAAGCAAGCACCCAAGGGAAATTTAAAAATGCTTGCTTAATGGAGGTGCTCTTTGACTAGAGTTATCCAATATTGCCCCAAGAACAAAAAATAAAGATATAGATTGCATATATTTTTTTATTCATGTAGTATAACAATAACAATACATGTACATTTTATCTAGTTGTGAATTCAAAGTAGTCGCGTATACATGTTTGTTTAGTAATACTGGATCTCTGGTCCCCCATTATTTCTTTTACTTTCATCATACTGAATCATAGCGTCTAAAAGCGTTTCAAAATGCCGTGAATTTGAGTATTTCCCACCCCAACTATTTAAGCGATTACGCGACCACTTAATACAATCTCGGTGCTTTTTGTGCTGACATAAATTAATTACGCTTGGGTGCATTGGGAGCGAACATCAATACTTGCATCAATAAATTTGACCATCGCTGAATCTTGCGCCGAACGAAAATTCTTTACTCAAATCTCGAACGTAACTTCTGTAAACTTGTCATTTTGTACCAACCTTCGATACTACTGTCTACCATTGTGATGCATTCGATAATATTTATCCATTTTTGTGAAGAAAATCGATGAATTAATTTTATTTTATCAAAAAAAGAACATGAACAAAAAACCATCACTGATTTTATCACCGATTTACAGGGGGTGTAACTCTGTATGTAATATTATAGGGGGCGCTAAAATGTCTGTTTAACAACAAAGTGGCAATGGAAAAGAGATACTAGATGATCGTGACAAAACTCGGTACTTTCATTTTATTCAATCAGTATCAAATAATGTGTCGTTACGCATGAAAACAATGATCAGGTTAGTCGCTTAATAAAACAAAAGATTAATAAACAGATAATCCCGGGTGGATTGTTATTTTTACATTTCTTTTTATCTGATCAGTGGGGGGCCAGTTAATTAACTACTACTCACGAGATTAGCGGGAGTGTTACAAAGAAAGAACAACAAGATGGTATGATTAAACAATGGCCATTGAATGGGCGATGTTTTGTTGAATTTATTAGTAAAATAGTGACCGCTGGCCGCGTTTGAGGAGTGACCGTTGAAACAGTAGAATTTTTACGGCGAGAATTAATCGTGATGCCCGTTGCACGCATTGAACAAGTGCGTGTTTAGTAGGGGTTAAATTACTTAAAAATCACTCGGGGGGATTTTTTGGTGCTCGTTGAAGCAAGTGTTTGCTGATTAGGAGTGGACGCCCGAGCAAGTTCTACTGTATTTAAACAAAATTTCATAAAACAAAAATTGTTACCATTTTGTTAATCTCTTCCACTGCTAGACCAAAATTTGTTGCTTGAAATCCAGATCTTTTATAGCTATCAAGTAATTTTTCCAAATTAATACCTTCATTAAAATCATATCCTCTGACAGTCTCCGATCCATCAGGCATTGTACCGCTACCAACCAGAACAGCATCTGTTGCTATTGCTGGTGCTTTATATTGTTCCATTTTCTCTGCTAAACCTGAAATAAAACAAAGCACCAGTTGAACTAGACAATTGATGTTATGAAAAAATAAACTATTATTTAGTACTTTTTTTTTAGATGTAAATAACTTATAAAACAGGAAGGAAGGCATGGCAAATCGAGGTCCTGTGTACCATGAAAAAATAAACTATTATTTTAGTACATTTTTTTAGATATAAATAACTTATAAAACAGGACGGAGGGCATGGCAAAACGAGGTCCTGTGTACCGTTGAAATTCAAAATAAGAGTAGGCTGTAGTGCAGCTATGCAGGCCAAATTTCCCTCATAGGACTGTCTGGCGTAAGACTGTCTTCATTGACTGTCTTCAGTTTTGTCCAGTAAAATTGACTGGGACGTGATTTCAGTTTCGCTAAGGATTCAATAGACAGTCCCTGAACGTACAGGTCTCATTACACTCGGCCTACGTTCAGAGCTGAACTATGACAGTGCATGCAGTGCAGTGCCCTGCATGGATTGGCCTATGTAGTGGGGTACCAAGCTGATTGGGACCATGGCTGATTGGGCCAAAAGTCAAAGCTGATTGAGGCCAAAAGTCAAAGCTGATTGGGACCACATTCCAGGCTGATTGGGACCACCACTAGGCTGATTCGGACCACACGATAAAAAATACTAGAAACTGAGGTTTTGATATTTAATTAAGTTTAAAGGAGTTTTATCTAGGCTATAGCGTGACTATAATTATGTGCTTTTATGTAGGCCTATGTTATTTATGTTTATATTCCATCTTTTTATGTCACAGTTACTATAATAACAGAGATTATCTCATTAATCTTATGTAAAATATCATACGTTTTATGCAACTTAAACAGACCATTTTTATTTTATTTTATAAACTTCATAGGATGTTTCGGAATCCATTATAGCCTATATATTGTGTGTAATTATACGTAGAAATACTGTTTAAACCAATTTATGCTAATTTCAATAAGTCATACAAATTTGAAAACTAATACTAGCAATACAGTAGCAGTTTAGTGGGAAGTTCTTCCCTTTATTTAATACAAAACATATCGTTTGGTAGATGATCTCGTCTGCTTCTGGATTGGTAGATGTCATCGTTTGGGGTTAGTGTTTAGGTGCCAGGCCCGTCTTATCGTGGCCTCCCCTTACTCCACTGTCCCACTCTCTGGGTTTGGTATCAGTTTTATTTGCGGAATAGTGTTTAGGTGCCAAGTTCGTCTGACCGTAACCCCCCCTTACTCCACTATCCTGCTAGTTTGGTAGATGTCATCTTTGTGGGGTTTGTGTTTAGGTGCCAGGCCCGTCTTATCAAGACCTCCCCTTACTCCACTATCCCACTCTGTAGGTTTGGTGTCTGTTTTTGGTGGAATAGTGTTTAGATGCCGAGTCCGTCTGATCGTGACTTCCCCTTACTCCACTATCCTGCCAGTTTGGTATAAATCCCCTATGTAGTTTAGTGTTTAGATGCCGGGCCCGTCTAACCGTGACCCCCTCTTACTTCACTATTATACTTAGTCCAACTGTGTCCATTAGGGCGTGGATTTGTTCGAAGATTTGCAGTTTCAGATCTGGTCTAAGGAAGAGTAGGTTCTTAGTGTTGAATGGTATGTTGTTGGTCTCCATTGTTCTTACTAGTTCCCTTCTCTCTTCCTCGTATACCTCGCAGTCTACCAGGACATGGTTGGCGGTACATTCTTCTCCGCACTCACAGATGATGACTTGGTGTTTGTAGTCTCGCAGCCGCTCTTTCACCCTTAGCTTCGATATAAGTCTACAAATATCTCTTCTAGGGTGATTGAGTGTTGTCTTTGTGTAGATCTTGTCATCCAGCCGGAATCTGTATGTGTCAAGTTCAACGAGATTTAATTCCCAGATTGAATTGACGTGTCTTTTGACCATACTGTAGATTTCCGTGGTGCTGTAGTCTATGGTGCGGAGTAGTGCTGTGTCCTTGAGACCTTCATTGGCGAGTCGATCTGCCTCCTCGTTTCCTCTAATGTTGACATGTGATGGAATCCACACGAGTTCTACTTTGCTTCCCTTCTCTAAAACCCTCTGGTACAGCTGCCTGATTTCCCAAATGACTTCTGGTCTTGAGTCCGAGTTGTCATTTTGGATTGAAATCAGACTGCTCAGAGAGTCGCTTGGAATGACGAACTTATTAGTCTTTTGATGGGAAATCCATGATATAGCGTCACGAATGGCCACAAGCTCTGCAGTGTACACCGAACAGTTATTGGGCAGTTTCCTGCTTATTCCCTGTTTCCCGTTTGGCAGGTATATTCCAAACGAGCTGGTGCCCCTTTCAGGATTGAGTGAGCCATCCGTGTACACATGGTCCCAGTCATCAGACGGCCAGTTGTCTTCCAGGTGTTCTAGAGAGAAAGCACGTGCAGCAGTGGGGTTGTTTTTCTTGTCGGTTTTCTGTAGTAGATCTAGATTAACCGGCGGTATAGGGAGCGTCCAAGGGGCGATCACTGGGGGGTCGTGTTCATTTATCACGAGCTCCCCCAGTCGCAGTTCCTTGATTGTTTCCCTGATACCCTGGCCAAAGCTTTTCTTTCTAGGATCTCTCACATATCTTGTATTTTTTAGACTGACAAAGGTTGGGGATCTTTCGCCCAGTTGCGAGATCTTAGCCCAGTACCTTGTCGCTAGTTCTTTTCTTCTTAGGGATAGGGGCAACTCCCCGACTTCCTGCAGTAGTGCCTCTCTCTCAGTCCCTTGCCCTACGCCAGTCGCAATACACAGAGCTTTGTATTGGATGGTGTCAAGCTTCCTTAAGAGTAATGGCGCGCAGTTCATGAAGGCCAGAGAGCCGTAGTCTAATACAGATCGTATTAGAGCACGATACACCATCATTAGTGTGACTCTGTTGGCCCCCCAAGTGCTGCCTGTTATTTTCCTCAGTTTTATACTATAAAGTGTGATTTAATTAACTTTGTTTAATGTGTATTACTAAGAAAATTTTACACATTTGTCAACCAATTTAGTGTATTGCATTCAACACTTGTCTAGATCAGGAAGGTCTCTGTCTCGGCTACTAATAAAATATTGGTTTGTAAAGTAATTGAATCGCCACCAAATGTCTCGTTATATGAAATAAAATGATATTTACTAATTAAAATATTATACAAAGAACATTTTGTCTGTCATTTTTTCAACTTCACTCATTACAAAATATCGCATTCGTTGCAGTAATTATATGAGGCTATTTGATATTTGGTTACAATTTTTAATACTGGGTAGTATTTATTGTCATGCAAACATATTTAAAACATACTCGTCATTGGTCTGATCATGGTCCGAATCAGCCAAGAATCTGGTCCCAATGAGCCAAGAATGTGAAGCATCTTCTCTGTGATTTAGCTCATTTGTATTGAAGCCGTCATTCACTAATTACACTATTATTTGTGACTAATTACACTATTTATTGTCATAGTTGTCTTATTATCAAAAATATGCAAACATATTTTAAATACTCGCTTCATTTAAGTAATGGTCTGAATGAGCCTTGTCGTGGTCCCAATCAGCCAAAAATCTGGTCCCAGTCAGCCAAGAATCTGGTCCCAATCAGCCACAAATCTGGTCCCAGTCAGCCACAAATCTGGTCCCAGTCAGCCAGGTCCCAATCAGCCATGGTCCCAATCAGCCAATTACCTGTATTCTTGGCTTCTACATGATAGTTAACACAAAATAAATAATTTATTATCAATAATATCATACCGGTTATCTTTTTCTTTTTACAAATGACAATCAAGCCATAATTATAATAACAAGTTTAAGTGTTGACCGCACGTCAGGATAATTTCATAATAGTTGTGAAATCAATATTATTTATTTTATAGCAGCAGACGAATTTACTTCTATTAGCTATTTCTTTCTTTGCCTATGTCTTTTATAATATTAATCTAAATGTCAGTATTTGCAAGTATGAAATATTAAACAGTATTACTGATACGACATGAATAGGACAAATGTCAAAAGTCAACAAAAAATATTTACAAACTCAAAACTTACTCTTAGTCTTATTTTGTTTACAAGCAAAGAACACGTGCTTCCGGTATTTCAAGGCATGCGTAGTTCAACTGGCATTCGGTAGTATTCGGTTTTGTTAAAAATGAAACAAAGAACAAATTAACATATCAAATCAACAATAAAAACGTATAGACTGCGTAATCAATGGTCTTAGATGTTAACATGATTCTTAAAGATTATTAGAATAATTATTAATCTATTTTTTCGTTATGATATAGCATTCTAGGTTTTAATTATCTGAAGATTGGTTACCGGTAGTTTTCGCGTATTAGGCCCACCGATATCATTTAATTAATGCCATTATCTAAATTAATTAGGATTTTATTTCATTTCATTTCCGAATATACATGTAATAATATAGACTATAATTCAGGGTGTAGAAATTTTATGTGGTGGTCCGTTTGGATGAACGAAGACGGCCTTTTTAAAAAATTGTGCTTTTAACACAGATATTGGATTTTAATTACTTATATTTTAATTACAGAAAAATTCCATGTCAAAGTAAACGATGCCAATTCATTTACAGTGCTAATGATAAAGCTTTTATTGCCTCAATATAAACATTTTCTCTGGTAGTGATTAAATCGATTAAATGAAATAAGCCATTTTGGTATCGAGGCTATAGTGCAACCAGAAAACAAACATGTCGGTCGACGGAACATTGGATGAAAGTGAAAGAAAAGTTGTGAATGAATTCTGCCATTTATTAGAAAAATCAAAGCAGTTATTTAATGGTTTACGGTAATCAATATATGCTTGATTGATATTTCTAAATTTAACAACGTTATGTTCTTATTTCAATGAAAAATAAGGCAACCGGTTCGCATTTTCTTGACGTTCAAAAAACTATATTTTGTATTATTTTTTTTTTCTCAATCTCATTCTGTTATCTGCCAATTTCTGATTTTGATGAAAAGAAATCAGTTTGAAAGTGTACTGGTTACAGCTATAAATATATACTAGTTTGCAACCAACATTGCATTAATTAAGGCCATAATGATAATCAATTACAATGTGATTGACTGGAAATTGTGTCAATATTTTATTGTCAATCTCAATGACTCAAGGATTCAATTTCAAATCAATCAAGGCAAGCTATCTAGATTCAAATTGTTGACATCAAGCTTACAATTTGATGATCACAAAGTTCCAGTTGCCTACATGTACATGTATGCATGTATTTTGTTGCAGTCAAACACATGTACCAGCCTCCAGTCCAATTTTAAAAGTAGCTAAGTCTAACTCAATATCATCCAAAGTCTTACACAAATTATTTATCAATTCAAATCAACATTGATGTTGTGATCTTAGTCTTACCAGCAAAAGATAAGCTTCTGATATCAAATATTTTTAGACAAAATAAACATTTTACCATTTCAGCATCATTTGTAACAAGTGACCAGAAACAACGAGTTTAGATATTCCACAACTCTTGACAAATGGTGACACCATATCTTATCTGATCATGAAGAGCATGTGCAATAGACTGGAATAACCAGATGCTAGAAATTGACATTCGGTTGAGACTCATGCCATATTTCGCTGGACATAACTGATTTGAAATTAGAGTCAAAATGGAAACAATTGAATGTAAATCAGTTTATATGCAATCAGATTACATTATCATGTGTTGCGACCCATTTGGGTCAATTTCTAGGCCCCAAATATTAGCGATTTAGCTCCTTTAATTAGAGTTTGAGAAAGTGGGATTTTATTTATTAAAGGAGCTAAATCGCTAATATTTGGGACATAGAAATTGACAGAAATGGATCGCAACGCATATAATAATGTAATATGAATGTATATAAACTGATTTACATTCAATCATTTCTGTTTTTACTATAATTTCTAATGGGTTATATAAAGTCTGTCATTGAGTCGACTGGCGTGGTTTCGAATCCCCGGTTGTACGTGGCAAGGAGTAGGGTCGCCTGTCCAGCCTCGTGGGTTTTCTCCAGGTCCTCCGGTTTCCTCCCACTGCTAAAGACCCTTACGCGCAAGCGAATTATGTAAATAAAATTAAACCATATGTTAGTCCTGAAATGACCTAGTTTGTGTCGAGTGGACGTTAAACCCCATTTCTCTCTCTCTCTCTCTCTAATCAGTTATGTTCGGCGAAATACGCCAGAAATCTCAATCGGATGGCAATCTCTAGCGTCTGGTTATTCAAATTTACATGATAGTATTTATTGCACATGCTCTCCAGATAAGAATATGGCGTCACCGTTTGACATGACTTGTGGAATATGTCTGACCTCGTTCTTCGAGTCCCTTGTTACAAATAGCGCTGAAATGCATTATGGTACACGATTCGTGTACCAATGATAAAGTATTTATTTTGTCTTAAATATTGGATATTAGAAGCCCATCTTTTCCCGGTAAGATTACAACGTCAATGTTGATTTGACTTGACAAATAATTCTTGTTTTCAATGTCGAAGATTTTGGATGATATTGGGTTAGAGACTTAGCTACCGTACTTTAATTATCCAAATGGAAATGTCATTATTTCCAATTATCTTATTCCTTTTTTATTTATTTTTTTTTTTAACAGAGATTTACCACAGTATGGTCACAAACAATGGCAATCTTATTTTGGAAGAACATTTGATGTCTATACAAAATTATGGAAATTTCAACAACAGCACAGGTATAGCATTTTACTTTTTGGGTGTGATACTTTGATTTATTTGATTAAATATCAGGGCCTCATTTTTATAAAAAGTGCACGTGTAAAAAAAAAAGCACTCGCTGTAAACTTGCGAGAGTGCTTTCAAACACACTTTTAAAAATTTTGTGAACAGTAATTCTGCGGCATCTGGTAAAGATATTTGCTATTAATTCACTAAACCCAATAACTGAATGACACTCCGGTTTTTGAATAATTAAACACGGTTACTGTTTTGAGTCATAATGATCAACACAGAACTAAAATATGACTTACATGTAGTTTCATTGCTGCGTGCCAAAAACACTGACCTCGCTGTTCTGCTAATTACATTGTATATCCATCAGTCAATCAAAAATTTGTCTAGAATTATACTCGGTGACAAGTCGTGTGAATTACATCGTCAAGAAATTCTTGAAGATAAATAAAGTGATACGGTTTCCTCTGTCATTGTGCAAAATTGTGTAGATTATTATATAAAAAGGGATTATAAATTCTTTCCAGCTAATTTGGGTTTGTGAAACCTTTTCTCAAACAAGCAAATGTATATATATTTTCAATGCTATTTTAGCAATTAACTAATTGAGACTCCGTTACAAACAAACATCATGTCGACATGGTTATTGTCATTGGGTACCATATTGTATGTGATAAGATTTTTGTCTTGAAAAATTGTAGATTTTTTTATCATATTTTGGCAAGCGCTTTTTATTCACGAACGGATTTTTTTTTTTGCGAGAACATTGCAATTGCGAGCGCTGATGCGCTTGACAAAAATAAAGCCCTGAATTATAATGTAATGTAATCCATTAATCATTGGCTGCTAATCTGCTATCAAATCCAAATTTTAAATTATATACAATGAACTTTTACACATTACATCATTACTGGCAATTTAAGTTAATCTAAATTAACCATCCATACAGCACAATACCATCTATCATAAATCACTCTGCGATGCACACAAGGGTATATCACATGGTCAATTATGCGCCATATACATGTGTATATATATACATTATGAGTATATACATGTGTTCTTACGCGATATCAACAACATGTAGGTGGAAACGGGCGTAAAATCTCCGTAAAATATACAAACATGTACATCTATTGTTTTCGAAATCACTTCGATGGAGTTGTTTCACACACGTGTACAAGACATGAACATGTCATATATTTATACAATTGCCACTAGTGTGTTGTTTCTCATCTACACCTCATTATAATTCACTGATTTTGGGTACACATTCTAAATTATTCCATGCTCAATTATTTTTCTACATCTAACTTCCCGTATTCCTACTGCCTGTACATGTACCCTTTGCAATCTATTATGAGTTTATACATGTACGTTTACATGTAAAATCTAGATATCAGTAGCTCAAAAGTTGTACATGTACAAGAAGTGTGTGTGTGTGTGAAAAAGCTTTATTTAACATCTGCTTCCACTGAAGTGATATCGCAGACAAAATTGTACAAGAAGGTCTATACGTGTCGCATACGTATTTTAAAATTAATATGAGTACAAAGTATCGACAAATAAGAAAAAAAATAGATTAAGAAAAATAGATAAATGAATAAAAACTGAAATTATATGGCATTCTGAAGGTATGATCATATAGTTGATCGAAATATGGTTTTACTTTATTACTTCGATATTAAAAATTAAAACGATTCTTAAAACGGCGTTTATGTTTTATTTGAGTACAACAAATTATGACAACAGGTAGATATTGATAATTAAAACGCGTTGTTTTATTTGACTTTTGTCTAACGAATTACGATACCATTTACGACATCCAAACCTTTAACATTGGAGTCCTGTAAATTGGTCTGGGTGACCTATTTACGGCAAATATACAAATTTAAAGACCGTAGAATTGTAAAATGTATAACAACTTCTAAATATAAATAAACAAAATACCAATATTTCTTTCTTTAAACTTAAACTAATTTGGCATGATAGGGTCTACTACGGCACACAAAAATAAATTATGCCGTGGCAGACATGGTTTGTGTCGGCTTTTACCAAAGCTTTGCCGTTTGCCGTGGTAAATTTCGAGCGCTGAGTTTGTGTACAGAGAAGGACGAAGGGGATTAAATACGACTGGGCGGCTTTCTACGATTTTTTCTTTGTGCTGGGCCTTGTCTACAAGATTGCTATCTATTTAATAGCGGTGGGTGTTTTCTTGTTTTAGACGCAGTTTCCATGCATATTTGATCTTCTCTTTTGCTAAGCTTGCAAATTGCTGACAACTGTATTCTAAATTGTCCAATTGATTTAGTGACAACACCTCCTTCGCTAGTTTGTCGGCTTGTTTGTTGCTGAAAATATTGACACGGGAAGGGATCTATGCAAGGATCACCTCCCTCCCACTGGTTTTAATCTTTTGGTTTAGGTCCCTAACTTCGTGGATTAAGTCTGCCTCCCTAAGAAAACACCCTTTTTCACAATAAGAAAGTGTTAATATAATTACACACACACTTTATTATTTCGTAATTTAGTAAAAATTGTTGAGCTTGATCACGTTGCATAGTGCTTTATTAATGAAAAATAAATAAATTAAAACGATGGGCCTTAAAGTAGCTAAGTCTCTAACTCAGTATCAACCAAAGTCTTTGACATCGAAAACACGAATTATTTGTCAATGTAAATCAACATTAGTGTTGTTATCGTATCTTGAAAAGATGAGTTTCTGATATCCAATATTTAAGACAAAATAAACATTTTATCATTGGTACACGATTATAGTTTATTGATTTTAATATATTCAAATGTTCGTTCAGTGGAATTGATTTAACAAAGACATTCACGGCTATCAGAAAATAGAAAGGAGTTAAATACTTTGTGAAAGTAATACACTTCCGATAAAGTCGATGAAACGTTAGCTAATTCCTAGCGTGACTAGTTTTCGGCCAGCGATAATTAAAATGTGAACATTTTGTTTGTAATACTTCGAGAAATAACAGCACTCCTGCTAATGCTATCGTATAAAAGTTGGGGGGGGGGGGGCGATGAAAAGCCTGCAAATTCCTTGCGGTAAAGCACGGCTATGCAGAGTGTTTTCCTAGGGAAACACAGCGTTTTCGAGCGAATCCTGCGGAATTGAGTGAAATTTCACAGTGGAAATCTTGGCGATTTCTTAATGTTTTTCCCTGTGGTGTTGGTCCAATTTTGGTCTGAAAGATTTGAGAGGTACTGTAGTGTATTGTCTTCACAAAAGTGGTCAGATTTAGGTTTTTATTGTCGTCGCCCCCGTTCGGCCATCCGGCGGTTCGGGGTCCACTAGAGGCTAAAGTTAATATCTGATTGACTTTAAATTTACACAGTGTTTAAGGTCATGAGACTATAGATTTTTAGCGATTTCTGATAATTACTGCCAGAGTTATGGCCCTTGAAAACTTTGAAAAATCTTGTCGATGCCCTAGAGGTCAAAGTTAATATCTGATTGACTTTAAATTTATACACAGTGTAAGGTCATGAGACGAAGAAGCCTATTGATTTTCAGTGATTTCCGATAATTACTGTCAGAGTTATGGCCCTTGATCACTTCAAAAAATTCTTGTGGAATCTCTAGAGGCCAAAGTTAATATCCGATTGACTTTAAATTTATACACAGTGTTTAAGGTCTTGAGATGAAAAAGCCTATTGATTTTCAGCGATTTCCCATAATTACTCTCAGAGTTATGGCCTTTGATCACTTTGAAAAATCTTGTGGACGCTCTAGAGGCTAAAGTTAATATCCGATTGACTTTAAATTTACACACAGTGTTTAAGATCATGAGACAAAGAAGTCTATTTTTTTCAGTGATTTTCGATAATTACTGCCAGAGTTATGGCCCTTGATCACTTCAAAAAATCTTGTAAATGCTCTAGAGGCTAGAGTTAATATCCGATTGACTTTAAATTTATACACAGTGTTTGAGGTCATGAGACGAAGAATCCTATTGATTTTCAACGATTTCCGATAATTACTTCCAAAGTTATGGCCCTTGATCACTTTGTGACGCGCTAGGCTAAAGTTATCATTCGATTGACTTCAGATTGATACACAGAGTTTAAGGTCTTGAGATGAACAAGTATATTTATTTTCAATGAATTTTTATGACGTGAACAGCTAAATCCATAATCTTAAAAGTTTTGTATACTAAACGTTAGTATGGGGCAGAACTTTATAAAAACCAAACAAATTCTAATGGTTTTCTGATAATTACTTAATGAGTTGTTACTCTTGTCTTAATCACATTTTAATGTATTATAAATGTTTCATTACCGAAAAAAGTAAAAATATGCGACAACTCTTGTTGACTGCCCAGACAATTTAGCTGCTGTGGGCGTATGTTTCATTGCCTGGCAACCTATCTTTTATTGTGCATTTCTGTTTCAAGTGTAAACCTGTATAAACAATCCTTCAATTTTTCAGACAAATATTGGATAATAAATATGGGTTGAAAAGATGGCAAATAGGAGAGGTGGCATCCAAGATAGGACAACTTTATTACCATTACTAGTATGTTCTCAAATTTGGTGGTTTTCTATATATTTAGAATAGAAATATTTGACTCTGCATTTTGTATTTCTATCTTGGCACACTATACAATTAGATGTACTATGCATTATTAAGTAACATTTGAAATTTTCAAATGATTCATTTTACATTATCTTTTTTCAAACTATTATAGTTATACTATAGCAAGAATGGCTAGCTCTTTATCTAAATCTTACATAATGTATCTTTAAGCATGTTATTTTTGTCTTTGTTATAAAGTTTGTAGGCCTAAATAATATAACAATATGCTGAAAAACCCTCAGCGTCATAATTCATATTTGGTTATATTTTTAGCTCAAAACACTTGGAGTACATAATCCATATTTTGTATTACCATCCTGTATCATTATGTGTTTACTTGTACCGTATTGTGTTTATTAAAGATACATTATGGGAGATAAGATAAAGAGATGGCAGTTCTCGCTATAATAGTTAAAAACTAGATAGTGTAAAGGTAATTTGCTGAAAATTTCAGTCAAATTGATCCACTATGAGCCGAGAAGCGAGTGAAATTTTTGCATAGTCTCTGTCATCATTACTAAAATCATTAATATAAACAGCATAGTCTCGATTATCCACTTTTTTTGATTTAATTATCAATGGCTGTTAGCAGCATATAGGAATCTAATCCAGCCAACATCGAAGGCTGGCCTTGACATCAAGAGTTTATTATGGTCTGGATAAGTTAATTAATGTCTGATTGATAATTTAGATAACATTTCAAGCCTAAAGAAAGACTTGTAATAAGCAGATTTTGCACTTGCATAATGCATGTTTAACTCTCATAAGAAAATTGTTGTTAGTCCAAAAATGAAAAGAAAAATCTTTAACTTTATGTTTTTAATTTATTCACTTCAGCTTAAGAACAAGTGAAACCAATTACCTTAGTGAGTCATTTTCCTTTTACTCTGCTATCAGGATGAGGGCTTATTATTCCAAAGCTACCAAAGAAGACAGGTGAGTCCACCAGATATATTGATTATATCTTTTAAGATTTTATTTTTTAAAAGAATTCACATTTAAGATTTTGTTAAAAAAAATCTATCCAAAAAATGTTTAAGATGATAAAATATGTGCATTGATTTGAAAGAACATACAAGAAAATGAATGGCAATAGCATTTATATTTGTGAAAAAAATTGACCATCTGGATGGACTATGAGTGTGACAGATCAAAAACCTACTTTCTTCTAAATGTTTAAACTGTCGAGGGATAATTGATGTGCACTGCTAAAAATTAACAATGATCAAGAAATTAGGAGGCTTTTCTTAAGGGTAAAATGATCCAGCCTATCTGATTAAAATGTGGGATATAAAAAAAAATATAAGTGAAACAACAATAGAATAGACACTACACATTTTAATTTCGAGAAATATTATTTTGCTATGGATTATTAACTAAAGATAAATCTTTAGTTTAGATTAAGATTGTATAAATTATAATTGTGCAAGAATTTTAAAATTTGATTTTGAGAGAAACTGGTGTATATGTATTTTCAGTTTGTCCCAAGTGCAGATGTAAGTGTACATAGAGTAAACCTAGTGAGCCCATATATTATACATACATGTACATTTTATGTGTTCATTTACTACATTATCTAACCCTATGATTTTACTTAGTTTTCATCGTGGTATACGGCTATGCATGTTTTAAATATGCTGAATTATTCCCCATGACATCAATCTGGGCTGTTATATTTATGAAAAAAGGCCCTACTCCTAAATTGTAGACCTGTACGTCACACAGTTGTTCTTGAATATTTTTATATATACATTTATGTGTGTGAAATAACTTTATTGAGCGTCTGCTTCCACAATGAAGTGATTGTCTTTTTAAATCTCTGCTCCAAAAATGTACTTGTACTATTTACTGATGCATCAGCCAATAATTCTTGAATATTTATAAATATCGGTGATCACTATGATAGGCCTTAGATTACATGTAGTTTTCATCTAGCTCTTTTATTGGTGGATTGGGTGTGGTGGAGGCTAGGGGGTGGGGCTAGGTACAACTTTTTGAATCTCAACTAATCATCAACACTGATAATTACCGGTAATGGTTTCTTGTTGTAAATAATCTTTCAATCACTATATATAAACTCTCTTTTTACACCACAATTCATGAATAAGTTCTAGTTCGTAGATTCCAAATTTGAATTGTTCATAGAATGTTATCTTTATCTGGCTGAGAAATAACCTATCACAAACAAGCTTTTGAAGACATTTGACCAAAGTAATCAACATTTTAAAAAAAAATCTTTAAAGTGTGATTAATAATAATATCGTGTTCGTTACACATAACATTTCTGACATTAATTCCCATATAAAATTGCTGTCTTGTGCATGCAGGTAGAAAATGCAGACAGAATTGAAAAGTAAAGTGCCATGATTTAAATTCTCATTGGAAAGAGTTTCATTTCTAATTCATTGAATTTTTATTGTTAGTGGATTGTGTTCTGTGGCTTAAGTCAATGTTAAGTATAGCTTGTCTAATTTCAACCAGTAGTAACAGCTGATACATTGTACCCCTGTTCTGCTGTATAAAGCTTAACAAAATGCAACAATAAATATAAATTATTCTGTAATTTTTTTTTTTTATTTGTACATATGTAGATCTAACTTTAGCGTTTCCACTGAGGACGAAAGCTAGCTTCAAGCTGGGTTCGAGTGCTTCCACTGGCCAGATTGTAAAAATGTAAAAGCTGAAAAAATGGTTTTGACAGTTTTAAATTTCTTGGGTCGAGAATGAAGCCGAGACGACGCTAGCTTCAAAGTTGTCAGTGGGAACACTCCAACCTGGCTTTTATATCGTTCAGCATTCACTCATATTGTCGAGATAACTATTTGGTCTTGATTATCGTTATTAATGGGTTATTAGATCTCTTGCTTATCAAGGCTCTATTTGTTTTGGGAACAAGATATTTTAGTGGAAATGCAAATTGGGGGGAGGTGGTTAAACCATGTAAAACCGGGTTGGACCCAGCATTTTTAGTGGAAACAGCATTATAGACTTGTAGACTTGTAATATCTAATACTAGTCATTTTAGTTTTCTTTCGTTTACATAAAAGTGTATATATTGGAATTGTCTTGTACATGTATGTAGTAGCCACACAAAATATCTTAACCACTCAATTGTACGTTGGTTTGGTTTTTTTTTGAGAGTATAGATCGTAGTTAGCAGTCTCGTACTTGGCTACTTAGTTAGAGTCAACATCAGTTTGGTATCGGTAACTAAATTGTGTTAACTAATTGTCCAACACATATTTGCTATGGCTCTGCAGTAGATCGCCAACCTGAGAAACCTTAAACTGAAGTTTTAATCACCGCACAAAAGGCCAAGTAGTGTGGCCATGTGGTATAAATATATTATTCAGTCTGTTGTGTAAGCCAAAATTTGACACAAAATACTGATTTAACAACTTTTGGGAAGAGCAGATGAACAATAAAGCTCATACCGCCGAATAACTTCATCTAATTTGCAAATTACAAGTACCTGTACATGTAATGTTCTGCAGTGATAGTCCCAAAATGATTTTTTTTTTCATGGGTTACTGAAACATTACAATATCAACCCGTTGATTACCTTTTTAGAGTCTTATAAATCGGTTTAGTATAAGAAAAGAATGATTTGTATTGTTGCAATAAATAAATAAGATATTGATTTTAGCACTGATGATTTTGAATAATTATTTTTATAATCCAGACCTGATTTGATGGTGAAGAAATTACGATATTATGCCAGATTCATTGTGGTGTGTCTATTATTGAAGAAAATGAAATTAGTCAGGGATTTAGTTCGGGTAAGTGAAATGCAATACACAGCGCAATCCATATAATGATATGTCACATAATTGTCTATTTCTGAAGTCAATGTTTTTGTGATATCACACACATTTTATTGTCGTCTGACTGTTGTTAAGTGGATTTTGTAACAATTTTGTTTTTCCAATACAGAGAGTAGCTATTATAGCCAAGAGTGTATGGTTTTGTTACATGCTCACGTCCTTCTTAACCTTCTACGTGTCTGAGTTTTGAGATTTAAAAAAAAAACAATTGCTGGTCCCAAGTAAGAACCTAGTCTAGAGTTTCTGGATTTTTACTTTTAATCTGAACTGGTTTGATTAGATAGCATTGACCCTGTCAAAATTGAAATTTGCTAGGAATGTTCCCAAGGAGGAACCCTAATCAAAATTAAAACTTGCTAGGATTGTTCCTGACTAGGATTTTTTAGCTAAAAAAGGAACCCTATCAAATTTCAAACTTGCTCAGACTTTTTATCTAGGAGGAACCCTATCAAAATGCAAACTTGCTATAATTATGTCGCTAGGAGGAAAGCTATCAAAATTCTAACTTGCTGTGATTTTTCCGAGGGAGGAATCGTATCAAAATTCAAAATTGCTAGGATTGTTCAGCTATTCCTAAGGAGGAACCCTATAAAATTCAAGCAATGATTTAATGCTGCTGTCATCAAAACCTTGTAAATGCTTTGCAAAAGATTTCAAACTTATTGTATGTTTAGATAGTCATAAGGAGGAATCCTGCTATGTATCAATTCTATTTTTTTAATTTTTTTTTATTTGTGTTATATGCTTGATAACAACTTGTGAAATCTTGTTGAAACGTCGCAGTGAAATAAACCATAGTAATTGTTATCCATAAATAGTGTGTTATTCGACAACCGGCACCTATATGATTTGTACATGTATTTGGGTCTGTGCATTATTTAAAGATACATTATGAGAGATTAGATAAAGAGCTGGCAGTTCTCATTATAATAGTTAAAAACTAGATAATGTAAAGGGAATTTTCTGAAATTTTCAGTCAAATTGATCAATCTTAACCGAGATTTTAGCGATTGAATTTTTCGGCCTAACCTTGATCATCATTACTAAAGTCGATAAGATAAAAAACATAGTCTCGATTATCCATTTCATGATTAAATCATGAATGGAAGTCGAACAGCAAATCAGAGCTAATTAAATCCAATAAACATCACAGGCTAGCGATGACATCGAGAGTTGATTATGGTCTGGATAAGTTAATTAATGTCTAATTAATTTCAGACCTAAGGAACGACCTGCAATAGGGAGATTTAGCTCTTTCATAATGTATGTTTAAAATATAGATAAAGGAATAAAATATATTAAAATGTAAGCAATAGCTAATAAAGTAATGTGTATTACATGTATATAATATTAATATCTTCTACACCATGTACATTGTATCATGCATGAAAGACAGCCATATTATACACGTAAGATGTTAAAGCAACAAGAGGCTGTTATTTTACTGTATTCCATCTGGCATCTGTACAGTATTAACACATTCCTGTTATAAATCAATACACCAGGGATTGAATTTATCAATAAGTGTACAATGTCATTATGTGTGAATAATGAAAATAACTCTTAGCTTGTTTAATGAAGTTTACCAGTGCACTTGTTAGTTATAACAATGGCTGATTACTGTCATTGTTTATTTATTCATGATTTATAGTAAACAGACAACATGACAGAAGGCCAATACATATCTTCTTTATATAGGTTATGTACAAATAAGGACTAAAAAGGTGTTAGTTATTAAATAAATGTACATGTAGGTTACTCCAAGAACACAAATTGTGGGTTAGATTTTGAGATTGGTATAAGCAAAATGTATATTAGATTTTGAGATTGATGTAAGCAAAATGTAGGTTAGACTACTATCAATGCTATAATTATAATGCTCAACATGAGATTCCCCAAACTTTTCAGCGATTTTTCTGTACACATGGCTGAAATGCGTCCATGGAAAGCGGGTCAAAGACACTCTTAAAGATACATTGTCCCGAAAGTATTTATTGGGTGGTTATTTCAGTATGGCAAGTTTGGTATGGAAAGTATAGACACCAATCTTACTAGAAAAATACTGGATTACCTGAAAAAAAACAATAGGGCAGGGGGTGGGGGGGATGTTATTGAGTCAACTGGCGTGGTTTCCATTCCCCGGTTGTACATGACAAGGAGTAGTGTCGCCTGTCCAACCTTGTGGGTTTTCTCTGGGTCTTCTGGGTTTCCTTGATCAAATGGTTAGGTGGTTTTGGGAACATTGAGGTGTATCAACCACTCAACCAGTGACTGGTATCAACGTGCAATTAAAGGTGTATTTATAGTTTGAGGTACATGTATCTTATTCACCTGAAGATTCACATTGTGAGAACCTATATGAAAGGAAATGAGTTTGTGTTTAACTGCCTACTGTTCTACTCCGACTAGGCTACTGAAGACAGGCATATGCCATAAAGTGTGCAATGGGGGAAATTCCAACTATCAAGGGTTCTTTTACGTGCATGCCAATGTGTACATAGGACCTCCGTTTTTCACCCATCCTATAATGGGATCAAACATGGAACCTCCTGGTTAGTGAACCAATACAGTATCTTACTCATTGAGCCATTTTGACTCCCACAACCTTTAGGACTGCTAGGATGACTTGGCTGCTATTGGCAATTATTTATTTATCTGGCAATCTATCGTTTAATGAAAAGATTTGTAACCATGTAATAATCACATTCAAGGATTAAAAAAAAATTCTTGAAGAACGGGCATACTCCTCGCAGTGTTTCGTTTGATTACACCTAATTCTACTTAACACTTCCGTAATGAAAGCAAATTTCTGTTCCAAATTATGACTGGTCAATAGTCCGATTAACAACCAATACCTAACAATATCATTCGGGTTTAACAGAGCTCCAAATATGTTTACATGATGTTACATCATGACCCACAAAAATTTATTATGCTCAATTAACCAGTGCATACCAGAATATTGCACAAAAACTAATTGCGTGACAGACGAGGCTATCAAAACGGCTAAAATGTAAACAATACTGTTTGGAAACATACAATACTTTCACCGTTTTTAATACTTTAAATCACTGTCCAACGTTTTAGAGGAGACCCCAGATTAAACTCAGGGCTGTCATATTACTTAGGAGAGATTTGATTGAACGGGAAGAAAAGACACACTCCCTCAAAAGCTCAAGTATCAGAAGTCAATCCAGCAATGGCCAGAGGAATATGGGTATATGGGGGTAATAACAAGCAGTTTTTATACGCCCACATTTTCACGTGTCCGGCCGTCCGTCCACAATTTGTTTGTGGACACTCTACAGGTCACAATTTTTATCCGATTTCAACGAAACTTGAAATATAGCTTTATCTCCCCAAGATCTCGGTTCCTTTCGATTTTGGCATGTATCGGACCATAACTTCATGGATTATGGTCCCTGATTGTAGGAAAAATCACGTTTTTCGCTTGTGGACACTCTAGAGGTCACAATTTTGATCCGATTTTGATGAAACTTGAAATGCATGTTTATAACCCAAAGATCTTGGTTCCTTTCGATGATACTGACAATAGTAGGAAAATGCTAATATTTTTGATCATCGACTGATGAAACACAAACGTTTCATCGAATGAATGAAGATAGTAATTTATACAGTATTACTGGCGTGAACTTGAAAGCTGGTAAATAATTAAAGGAGCTAAATCGCTAACATTTGGGACCTAGAAATTGACAAAAGTGGGTTGCAACGCATATAATTTTATTATAATACTGTAATATGAATGTATATAAACTGATTTACATTCAATGGTTTCCGTTTTTACTCCAATTTCAAATTAGTTATGTTCGGCGAAATAAGCCAGCACTCTCAATCGAGTGTAAATTTCTAGCGTCTGATTATTCCAGTCTACATACGCCGTTCGATTTGGTGCAATGTGTCTAGCCTCGTCCCTCGAGTCTCTTTTTACAACTGGGGCTGAAGCCCATTATGGTACACGATTCGTGTACCAATGGTAAAATGTTTATTTTGTCTTAAATATTGGATATCAAAAGGTCATCTTATTCCGGTAAGATCACAACATCAATGTTGATTTAATTTGACAAATAAATCATGTTTTCAATGTTGAAGATTTTGGATGATATTGAGTTAGAGACTTAGCTACTTTAAATATGGAAAATTTTCAAAAGAGGTACCTAATTGTCGTTATTTTTGTGGTAATTACATACATACATCAGAATAAGACATTGCCCATAACAAATTACATGTACCAAGAATTATTTTTGTGGAAGTCTCATTATATTAAAGGGAATGGAAGCTTATAATTAACCCATTTCCTACCGGCACCTCATTTGACCCAATTCTGGCCGGTTCGTTTCAAAATGGATTAAGAGCCCTGGTTGTATGTGTGCTTGTAGATGTACACTACATTGTACTTATTGACAAATTCATTAGATTCTCAAAGTTAATGGCTAAGTATGAATTGAAAAGTCTTTGAACAGGGTTCTATAGCTAGTTTTAAAACTGGTGTATACATAATTAATGAGACAGTGTAATGACAATGTCATTAATTTCTGTTCTTGTGGGACTTCCATTTCTATGGTGATGTAGAAATCATATAATTGGATAATTGTCTACCTGTTCTATTTTATTTGCTGCTATTTGTGTAGCACCATGGGTCTTTTGTCAGACGTGGAGAGCAGGTGTATATCATATACCTGCTTACATATGGTGCAATGCATAATAGAATAAAGTCATTTTCTCAAACCTGGGCGAGTCTGCTGATAGAAATTGCTACATCTTTTCCCTTCTGGAATCAGATGACAATACCAGACTATAATTTATTTAGAATAGAACTTTGTTGAAGGAAATGGTTACGCACCCATTTTATAAACATGACATTCCTAGCTTTTAACCCTTTCAATGCTAGACTTAAATCCACTGCCTGTGCTAGATACTTTTTTGAGGAAAAAAGT